CGCACGTGTACATGCTGTTGCTCTTCTTCTGCAAAAGCAGCAACATTCAAAAGTTGTCGGGATCAAAATAAATCCTTGTCACTGAAGACAAAACCTGTCATGGTACCAGCACCCTATCCGTACAAGCCTGCATGCGCTTGTGCCCGGTCATTCGCATGTTCTAGTACCGACCTCCGAACCCTTTCCAAACCTCAACTCTGCATGGTTCAGAGCCCGAAAGCAGCAGAGAGGGGACCACGCAAGTCAAACCAGCTTCCAAACTGAACGATGCGATCAGAAAACAATGACAATCCTGTACATGAAAACAACAGCTGCGTGGCAACACGACTCTGGGACCTTGCGCAAGCGAGATGGGAGGGGCAAAGCTGCTGGCGTGTGATGCGGGGAAGTGATGAGAAGAAGTGCTGCCCTGTCACCACAAGCATTTTCAAAAACATCTCTTTCAAAACTCCTCAGCCGGACATGCACCCAAAAAATGTGGCCTGAGATTTTTCGGCAAATTGGAGAACATCCCAGAGTTCTGAGAATTTGAGGATATTTGAAACCCGCCACAGCATTTGGATCTGTGCGACGATCTCAACAATGTGGCAGGCTGGGGTCCTAGGGGGTCGTGGAAAGGCGCTGATGACACACGAAAAACTCCGCGGTTTCTTCATGCAGCATGTTCTGGCAAACACGAAAGTAGAGTAGACACATGTGTTCGGGCCTCCTTGTGGCAACGGCGGGTGCTAGAAGTGTAACCTGCAAAACTACGCGGTTCAGCGCAACTTGGACTGCGGCTGTTGTCAGGACGAGCGCAGCTGCTGTTGCCACCTGGATGTTGTTTGCAATAGACGCTGGACATCGCACGCTAGCAGATCTGAGACAGCGTCTCCTATGTTGAAGTCTGGTGCTGGAACATAGCCCAAGAGCCGGCACAGGCAATACAATCCTGGCTTGCAGTCTGCGACCAAAACGCCTAATCCACATGTAAACACCGGCAGCACTAGCCTGTCGGGCACATTGCATGGAAGACGCGCCGCGCGGGGTCCCATTGTAAATCGCACGGAGGAATTGTTGCCATGCGCATCAACTGAGCCCAACAAGCTGTACTACATCATGCCGCATTGCCGTGGCCAGGGCGCAAAAACGCTCAGGAACTGGCTGTAAAGGGAAGTAGCCTCAGAGCAGAAACCAGCTTCGCACGATATTGGCTTCCAGGCATGCTCTTGGTCAAGCAGCAAAGCCCAAGCGAATGAAGCTTGCCAGGATTCAGTCTCAGGTGGACCTAGGCAGTCACCATGAAGCTGATGGTCGCAATGCGGAAATCATGAAAGTGATGCGTTGCAGTCAAGTCCTGAATGCGGCGATAGCCGCTCAAGCAGGCCATTGCATCTTCTATGGCCACGTGAGTGGAGCCTGAGTCACATAAAACAAGTTCAATGCCATTTGGCTTGAAGCTTTCTCGACGCGCGCAAGGTGCCAAGGCAAAAGCTGCTTCTGCGGCTATTCCTGACAGTCATGAGATGTAGTCAGCGATCTGAGAGGAAGTCATGTTGAAAGCAATTGAAGCGAGCATCGATCTTCGGTTTTCTTCAACATCTTCCTGCGCTGTGGGCTCTTGCCAGCTTCAAGCTGATTGCGCACGCAATCGTGCTGACCTGGCCTCCAGCCTGTTACGTGCAGATAAGTAAAGCAGAAACACCTCAGCTGTCGCTGCAAGCGGGATCTAAAGAGCAAGCTAGAGAAAGAAACCAGGAGTTTTGAGGAGGCCACCAGAAGTTTATGGAGCTGGAGTGTTTTCCGAGCATCCCTCAAATGCCGCCGTGACACCGCGTACAGAGCTGGAAGTGTACAAAGATGCCAAAAGTTGATTGCGGCTTTCTGGAGAATGACCGCCAACAGGACCTCGGTCACAAAGTAGCTGGCAGCTCAGGAGCGTCTGTCGGAATCAACATGAAGTCTTGTTGATCAGTGGGCGATCCTCAGAGAAGGAGCGACTTCTTGTCCTACGCTGTCGTTCTCTTTTTTTTGCTGAGGAACGAGGCACAAGAGCTCCGTGGGAGAGTGCCGCAGGTACATTGGAATGTACAAAAAACAATAAACATGATGACCGTCTTGAGAAACATCACATGATGTGGTTGAACCAACTATGCATAGCGATAAAACGTCAAAGGCGATGATGCAGCATGATGAAAGCGCGGACCGCAACCGCTTCCATGTAGGTGTCTTCCACACGTTTTAAGCGGGAAGCAGAGTCGGAACATCAGGGTCTGACAGCAGGAAGTATGTGGGACGATTCGCTTACCTAGCTTAGAATGATGGTTGTTTGCACCACCGTGCTGTCGATGGATTTTGTCTGGACCACATACTTTTCGAATTGTTCTTGATTGGTTGCATCACTTGATTCCAGAAGGCATTCAAAAGAGCAACAGCTTGTTAGGGCAAGTGATCCTCCCCATTCAAAGCGCTGTGCTACGTTCGTCTGCACTGTCCGGGCAAAGAAACACTCACAGGCTAGAGCATTCTGAAGGTTGCACTTTGGCTGCGCGGAAACCAACTGCCAATCAGTGCAAAACTTTGCTGTGTGGCACGTTGCTATGGCCATCACATACGTGCGCACCTGATGGCCCGGACACTGGCTGAGTCATGCTGAGCCTGCGGCAATAGCACCGCTGTAAAAGACGAGCAGGACCAGGTAATGTCCTGTAGCAAGGCCAAATGCTGCGAAGCAAGTTCTTGAAGCATATGGGGTGGTGCTGCACTTGCTCTTGGCTGGTTTGGAGTGCCCAGTCGATCCTCGATGCTGTAGGACTGCAGATTTTGAGCTGGGATCGACAGTGTAGGCAACCAACAGGCAGAGACAATTGCCGAGGCTCATGCAACCTTACTCTTTTGGCCGAAAGCAGAGCTGCTGAAACTTCGTGGACTTTGGATTCCTGACTTAGCATGTCTGTTCATTTTCTGGATACAAGTCACACAGATTTGCGCCGCCAAGGTCGCTCAATCCCAACGGCAAGTCTTGCAGTTGGGCAGCGGCCACAGCCTTGCTCTCCAAATTCGTGTAGAATGAATGAGATGGCTTTGCCGCAAGTCCGCGAGTCCAGCAAAACGCCGAAAAGGCTCACATTTTACATGCTCTTATGCTTGTTTGCCCCCCTCCTTACGCCTGCCAGCTAAGGAGCATCTGCCATGTCAGGTGCGCCATTGCCCACGGCCTTGTTTCTTCAACGACATTCCAACTCAACTTTTACCTACAGTTATCACGATCTGCGAGACGCCGACCAGCAGGGTTGCGGCTGCCATCTCGGGCGATAATCTCAAGCGCTTGCTCCAGTAGAACCTTATTACGAGTGCAACTTGCTTTCCCAATGATCTAGAGTAGCTCGGGTCCTCGAATCCTTCACATGGTCTGATGCAGTAGAGGTGCAGAGCAGGGAGAAAAAAGAGCTGCGCGGTGTCCATCATCAGCCAAGTTAGAATTGTTCCCACGATGAATATGCAGAATGCCACCAGATTTGGCCTGGTCTCCAAGTGATGCTTCTCACTGTTCTCCATCACTGGGGCACTTCTGGCTTTCCACGCCTTCGTGCAGTCTGCAAGGCACTGAAGTAGTTCAGGAAGGCTCCATTGCATTGCAAACCTCGAATGCGCTGTAACTACGATGATGCAGGCAAATCTCCTCTAAGACTTTTGGAGCCAACAACGACATAGACTTTGCAACGCAGGAACAACTCTCTGGTGCCAGCTCGCCTTTCACAGTAGTATTCGTGCCGTCCTGAACCTGCCGGCCAAAGTGCACAGGTGGACAGCAAAAGGAATACCTTAGCAGAATTCGGCTTTGCACTACTCATTCCAGGAACCTGAATCCAGTCTGCTTGGACTTCTTGCGCTAGCAAGCTCTGGAAGAGCCTGGACAGCCTCTTGCAATGTTACAGATTCGTGAGGACTGCCCTGGGCTCCCGTTCATGTTTAAAGGTCAGCTGTGCCGACACCTGGCAGGATTGACGCTGGCCTGCCGCGCTCAATCTTGAGTCCAGGTCGTACTGTCAATGCCAGGTCCAATGTGAGGGCGACAACCAGAAATCGCAGCCACCTGGATAAGCTGAACGTCATCGAGCACATGCCCAGCATATCTCAGCAAGTCCAAGCCACGGGAGCCTCATGCAGCGGCATCCAGCGGCTGTGCGAGGCTCAACCTTGCACCTGCATCTACGAACAGCTCAGCCTCAGCTCAGCTCTGCCATGTGAGTTTAGCCAACAACAACTATACTCGAGCCGACATGTCGCTGTGTCGCTGTGGTGTTCCCAACTAAAAAGCAGGCATTGTAGGAAGCAGTCTGACCCGCAACACGCATCAAAATGTTTTGCTCGCCGCTACGCCACAATGACATACTTAAACTCCGGCTGCCTCTCAATGAATTCCATCTCACTCACTGCTGCAACTTGTTCTTGTTCTCCTCCCCATCTCCCACTGATATCTCCTTCTCTTTCGCGCGCTTTGGAGACTGTGATGCCCTACTGGCCACAAGCTCACCTGGAGCACAAGACTGTAACATCACAAAATGTCTGCAAGGCAGGAAAGGCTCTGGTGGCTTGAAGCCTCACACATAAGCGCAGCCAATGCTATTCATTGCTATTCCAGGTTGCGACTGTGCGTGTAGACATAGAACCAAATGGATGCAGACACAGCTCCTGAATCACTGAATGGTGTCGCGGTGAACTTCACTGAAAAGGCCCGGAGTGTACTTGGAACCGGAAGAACTGCCAACAGTAAGTCCAGGCTCCCAGAGCAGCCACAACCAGCCAGGGGGCTGAATGATGCACGTCCTGACAGCTTGATTTCCAAGACACAAATTCACATCAGAGCATCTCAGAACTACACTATACCTCGTAGAGCGAGGCGAAGATGACTGGACCAAGAACGCGAGCCATGGCTTGAAAAGCAGACATGGCACCTGCACAACAAGTCTCTTCTCATCCTCTTTGAGATTTTTCATCAAACAACGAACCAATGCCCATCAATGATGCCTAAGCATGTGCCATATGCTGACGATCCAGCAACTTCTGTCAACAGCGATGTTTGGTTTGGGGCACCAAGGTTGTCCTTAGAAGCAACTTCAGACACCGAAGCCTGCACACATCGGACATCTGACATGCTTGTGAATGCTGCAGTCATGTGGCTCCAATGTTCTGCAGACCTGCACAAGAGGTCGACTGTTGGCTCACTCTCTGCAGCATATTCACAAGATCTGCTCTGGTAGCCTCAAGGGTAAAAAGGACCTGGCCCAGCCCCCAAGTCTCGCATGACTGACAAAATCCAAGAAGCCTTGTGACATGAGGAAGCACCATTTGGTTGGTGCCAACGCTATACCCATAAGACCAGTCAAACGGAAGCTGGTACCTCAGCAGCTCACCGCTTTGGGTGGGCGTTTGAATTCGGCTTGTCTGCAGCGTAGTGCTACTGATATGTTCGTCATTCAAGCTAACTACTTTGTCATCTGCTTCATTGCATGCCTTGCTTACCTGCTATGCTCTTTGTAGGGCTCTTATGCAGGCTGCCATCTCGCTGGCCGACAAATGCAAGCCAAAATGCCAATCACGACAGTGTACCTCAGTCCGCTTCGTCGCGTTAGAGCATTTCAAGCAGCCCAGCCACCCAACAAGTAGTGGAGATCTGCTTCGACACCAAGGGGCCACTGTTCAAAAACTCGCATCATGAATGGAAAGAGGAAGACGGTGACAGTAATCACGGTGACACCGCAGAATGCCATGCCTGAAGGTCGAAGAACGCTGCATTTGCGCAACGCTTAATGGTTTCTGCTTTAGACTTGCTTTCAGGGATACATCGACACCTGGTATCTCGTGCAGTGCACATAATTCTCATCCCGACATATCCCTGCTGGGGTTCCTAGCGGCCCTCACCCCCTTGCAGCACAGAATCTTGGCAACTGCAAGATGCTCAACATGCGCCCAGGAGCTGCCGGCATAGAATTGTGAGCTTGAAGTTGCAGGCGACGGATAATACCAGAAGTAGCCTGGGCATGGTTGGTTGCCAAGGCACGGATTTTGCATCTTGAAGCCTAAGCACCCTTTCCTTCTGCCTGTCCCTGCTCCCTTTAGACAGCAAATCATACGAGAGGAACCCCCAGATAATTTGCGACCACGCATGCTGGCAACGGAGACAGGGAAACACTTGGAGATTCTGTCCCTGCTGGGCTGAGTGCCGGATGAGGCAGGAGTCAGACGCAATCACATGCATTTGAGCGAGTCTGGAACATGCGCGGCCCCTGGTAAAGAGCATTCGCGACATGTGTCAGACATAAACAAAGGTCGAGCACGGAACACAGGGGCCCTGTGTTGGGAAGGTTTTGGCGAGCGCTGGTCCAGAACAACCCAGACTAGCAAAAACACAATAGTATTCATGATGATGATCATCATCATCATCAAAATTACGCTGCTTTTTTGGGAAAGTGCTGGCTGTTGCAGACTCTGTGTCATTCCGACGCACCTCGCTGCAGCTGTCTGCTGCTGTTCACAGCTGTGTCTCTTGAGGGTTCCTGTCTAAAGCCTCTTCAGGGCTCGCGCATGACACACTTTGCGACTGACGTGACTAACACCTGCTAAGTGCTGCTACGCTCAACTCAAAACCTGCACAGTGGCTCTGCCCGATGTTTACAGAGCTGGATGCCAGCAGTCCTACTACATAATGTCGACCAGATTTTGAACTGTTGATAGCTTGGCGAACGCATACAGCAAGCGCAGACTTTTTATTGCAGCCCGGCTGCTGTCCATAACGTAGAGGGCAGCACAGCTTTCCCATGCCTCATGTATTCTCTAATTGACACGATCTTCAAGCCCTTGCGAGGTTTGCATGCAGCAACTATCTGGTTTCTGCCGTTCTGTCGTGCCCAACAACACCGAGGCTGCCGAGCAGCAGCTAGACCAGCCTGCTGGCAGCACATGTACAAAATTGGACCGCTCACATGCAGGCATGAGCAGCATGTCCAGGCAGACCTCTCCAAGGAATGCACCAAGGCACCTTACGAGGCGATACAAGGCGCGTTTGGCATCTCAAAGCCGAAGCCTATGGGGCGGCAGATTTTGAATCTTGAGGTGAGCCGCAACAGCCAAGCCAGGCCAGGGATTTTTGGCTCACCGTTTTCTGGCGAGCTGTTGGTTTCATCCGGAGCCTGGCTGGGCACATCATGGTCTGGGGACGTCCGTGCATCTGGCTGATCGAAGTTTAGCCCAGACGCATGGCTCTTACTGGTCGGAGCCAAGCAGAAGCAAGCGAAGGCCCAGTTTGTTGCGGAAAGCAAAGCGCAAACACCTGGGTGTAGCGCACAGTCCTGCTCAAAACTGGCCAAGCAAAAGCTCAAAGGGTATCTCTCGAACCACAACAATCATCACAAAGCTGACCAGGTCTTGACCCGGCTGAAATAGCATGGAGATGAACAGACCAAGGCACGGCACGCTGCGACAAATCCCTGGTGACTGATCACGGCTCCCACAACGGGCCCAACCAGGATGCCCAAGGCAATACCTGCATGCCATGCCGCGTTCTTTCCAAATGAATACACATTTCTTCTCTGGCCAAGCTGCTGCCGTTGACATGAGCAACTCGAACTGGACGCTCGACTTCATCCGTGATGTCCGCAATGTATGCGTTGCAAACGCCTATCCTGGATTTTCGGGAAAGTCAAGGAGCAAACTTGACCCGCATGCTGGTGCCAGATAGGAAAGATCCCTGTGCGCACAAGTGAATCAACTCTGCTGGCGAAAGGATCGTAGCTGAGAACGCGCCGGCCAAGGTGTAGCCCACCAGCAGTCCGTGGAAACTCCTGCTCTGAAGAAGGTTGCTGACTGCATCCTGACCTGACCTATCTGGACCTATCTGCAACATGATCCATGCTTTCAGACTCGCCTTGCACAGCTCAGCGCCCCAAAAGCAGCGACCTAGGTCACAAACAAGCGTTGATTCTACCTTGCACGCACAAGCTAACAGCCCAGCTGCCTTCCAATACACTAACTTTGCCAATTCCAGCAGTTTTGCAACAGATTCAAGCATGGCAGCTTCACAAGGTGAGTGACCTGCACCTGACAAATGGCTACTTTGTGCTGGCGAGCTGCTTCGCCCGCGACAGCCAGCAACAGCACCTGTCTTGGATCCAAGTATGCAGCAAATCCATCTTAAGTGCGGCTATCTGTCTCACAGCCTTTCGTCGCCCAATTCGATCCGACAGGTATCCAAAAAGCGGCGTCAGGAAGGCCTCCATACAACAATCCAGCTAACACTTATAATTTCTCCTTTGCGGCTGCAGAAGCTGGCCTGGGCAAAGGAGAAAGCAGTCAGCAGGCCTTGGGCGAAGCAAGTCACAGCGCATAGACCAAGTTATTTTGATTCAGATGCGTTGGACATAGCGGCAGGTCAGTACGATCCCGTATGGTCGGGCCTGCGATGTTGCGCGCGCTCATGTTGAACGTCTTGGACAGAACGGGGACGTAGGGAGCAAAGATTCCAAAGCCAAAGGCATCCTAAGCTTTGACGAAGAATAAGTTGCATCAGTTCTGCCAAGCCATGTCCTGGTTATGTACTGCAGTATCTCCCGTTTTCGAGTGTAGCCGGTCATCTTCCATAATTGCAATTCCGCCGAGAAACCATGAAGACGATGAAGTACAGAGTGAAGAAGGAAGCCTCACATCAAGCACAAAGGGGGCTTCAATCGTTCTTCGTCGTGACCTTACCCTGTTCACTCGTCATGGGAGGTCACCAGCCCTAGTCCCATCAGGGAACAAAGCCCTTGAGCGCACGCAGCTCTCTTGCAATTGTAGCAGGTCAGCTCAATCAACTCTCTTCTAACCTACCAGCTTCATCAAACATTAATGGCTCTGCACAAAATTCATGTTTGTGCACTGCTGCCACCTCATCTGAAGCATTTTGCGAACCTAGCAGGGCACGGATTCAGATCACTTCACCACCTCCCATACATTTTGCTCCTAGTACAGTTCCTTACTGCCCAAGCAAGCCAAACTTCCCCCACCTTGCCCAGCAGAGTCAGCGCTGCTTCTCAGGAACCAGAGCGTCAGTCCGAACGCCATCCTTAGCGCTACGGGATGCGACGGGAAGCTAGTCCTAGCTCTCTGAGTAACCATGCAGCGAACCTCTTACGAAGTGGCTTCCTGGCCAGGGCGCACGAGCACAACGTAGGTGAGTCCAACGTCCATGTGAGCGTCCATGTGAGCCGCCAGATCACCCTGAGCCAGCTCTTCTATCAGCGCCACGCCGCCGAGCCTCAAGATCTTGCCGTGCTATCATATGTCCTGACCTTTGCTGAGGTTCTGACCGTGGGATGTGAGTCTTTGACGATGAAGATGCCAAACCTTGCCTGCAATCCGAACAGCAAATGCGTCACAAGGCATGTTGGACAGTTGCCAAACTGTCTCGCCGAGGCCTATGCGGATGCGTCTGATTCTTCAAGATGCTTTCTTTGGCACTTGTGGCGTCCCGCGAGGCATTACTTCGGGACCTTGAAGGTACACAGACTGTGCCAAGAACTGCATGGACGTAGGTTGCTGGAGTCCTGCTACATGTGACAAATGGCAGTCAAGTAGCGAATTGAGTTGGATGCTCACCTGAAGAAGCCGAACGTCCGCCAGCTCACCTTCCCAAGACACATTCGTGCTGAAAAACTCGAATGCCGTGCAATGGTAAAGCAAGCTTTGGCTTCTGCTAATGTGCATTGGGAACGGTGTTGAAGACTAGTAGAGCAAGCGTGCAGGCAGATCTCGGGCAAGTGCTGTGGGCAAATCGTGCCAGACGCCGGACGTCAAGCATAAGTTGAGACTGGTAACATCGCCGGCGTGGCAGAATCTGTTCTCGCAGAAGCCAGATCGAATCAAATAGTATCACTGGATGCACTCAACTGTGGCGGTTGTGAGATGTTGGTTTGACGGACATACACCTTACTGTAAGCAGCCCTGGAGTGAACAGGTTTGCATACCTGAATAATACAAGTTTACTGATTTCGACGAAACGCGATCTTGACATGAGGGTGATAAGCAATTGAAGACTTACTTGTTTGTCAAGATAGTTTTCACAGCTTTCGACACAAGAACTGATTTCAAACAGATGGCATTGCTGTAGTCCCATCATGCTGGATCTGCATTCTGTTGCTCGGGCTTGAATGTCCTTCTTGTGTACCCACTTTTGCTCTTGCTCACACATCCACTTCGACGACGTAAGAGAAGGGAAGGACTGTAGGCTGTCAGTGAGCACAGTTCTGAAAGAAACGAAATGGGTGCTGCACGGCAGGATTCCGGTGTTGACGAGTCGAGCAGCCTTCCAGCCAACCAGTGGCCCAAAACAGCCAAGCATCGAGATGCTTCTCCCCTATCAGATCGTCTCTTGTCTTCCTGCTTGCTCTCCATGGGGCACGTCGAGCAGAAGGCGTGGACTCTGTGACATGTGTTAGTGCTTCTGTCGCGCACTTGTGCAGCGACTGGAAACGCTTTATGGTGCTGCAACTGCACCTCACTTCGCGAGTTCTTGCGAAATGGACTGAGTGATTAACAGCCTCACTCTCGCAGGGATGGAAGTCAATCCAAGCCCTTGTCCGAGGTTTGCCACCAGAGAAGACGATGCAGAGGGGAGGACGGATGGACCAGAATGTCAAAGTATTTGAAAAGCCCAAGGCCTTTTTATGTGGCATGCGACGAGGGTTTCAGCCTGTGTTTTCAGAGGTCATGTTCCAGGTGCTGGTCTCAGCAGCGTCTACACGTGCAGTTCTTGGCTAGTTGTATTTCCGCAGCACGTTCTGCGCTGTCTTGGCCAGCGTCCACTTTTGCCATGCAACGAATCAGGGACAAAGGTAGCAGATGTACAGCAACATCCTTGGGTTTTTTGTGTCCCGCTTCGCTAGCAGGTAACCAACCGCAACAAACATCCCGCAATATGAAATCTACAGTCATCAAACCTCTGCAAACCAAAGCTCTGGCACAATCAGGTACCAATATGCACCAATGCATCGTGGATTTTGAACATTGAGCGTTGGCATGATTCTTCAGCAAGGCTTGCGCTTCCTCCGACTTCCTACCACTCTGTTGCGGGAGCTTTCGACATGTGTGAATCTTCTCTAACTTGGTATTCTGGCATGCTGAAACTCTTTTCACTCATCTGCTACGGAGGTGATTGTTGGTGCTTCCAAGTGAGGAGCAGTGAGGGCTAAACGCCGACCAGTTGCTATCCTCACACGAACCATCGGTCCCTTCATAGCAGAGACTTCCGTCAGCACCAGCCTGCACCTGTATAGCAGCAAATAGGTGAGTCGTGTCTTGACATACATCATGCAGCAGAAGTTATGATCCACCAGCAATTTAACTTTGTCTCTGAGACACGGTAATGCACCCAATCACAATCAGCAGAGTTCGCAGCTGCCAGCTATGCCACCATCCCATGTGTGGCATGTTGAAGGAAATTCAAAGGCTTGCTATAGATATGACGAGATCATTCTGCTGAGACATCCTGAAACTTGAAGGCTTAAAAGGACTTATCACGTACAACGAGGAAGTTCAGTTGGCACAAGGCTATGGTTTCGCCTTGAGCCAAAACTGCCAGACAGCAGGTCTCCACCCAGAACAACCGTGAAGTCAATAGGATTCCTTGGGCGTTCAAATATCACGACAGCAGCTAGTGCATGTTCTTTCCTTGTTTCTGACGCGGTCACATCTCATTGCTTCGATAACAGATGCTGGGTACAGATATCACCAGCCATCAATCTACGAAGCCAGACGTTTGGAAGGCACGCATCGCAAGCTGTTCACTGCAATGAAGTAATGGTTTTCGTGCCTGCCCCGCATGAAGCGAAAGTCCAGCATGGTTCCCATCAAGCCAGGCCCGAGTTCTCCATGAGGAAGGCATTGAGGCCGCTTGGTGGTTCCTGCCAGTGTCTTGGCAGGGTTCTGGGCGCCCGCGTGCTTCGTGCAATTTTCTCTTCTTTGCCGGTCTTCAGCGATTTGTGCCTTCACAGTTGGCGCCATTCATTTGTGTTTGTCTGCCAGACCTCCTCCAGGAAGATCAAGCTGTAGCACCACCCGCAGCTTTCAAGCAGGTCTGGCATCTCTTGTCCACAATTCAAGTGCAACGTTTCGCAGTGCCTGGTTCAAGGCGTAGGCCGATGCATTCCTTACATGAAAGCACAGAGTGGCTTCCATTTGGACAACAGCAGTTGCGTGGCAAGGGGCTTCTCGCCATCTGTGAGGAAGGGCAGCACAGCCACGCATCCGGAAAATGCAGCAGCCTCAAATCTCATGCGCAAAGGCAGTGTAAGGGCTCAGTGGTCTCAAACTACCTAGTCAGTGGGGCGCAGTTCGCTGGAGAAGCTGGCATCGTGGTATCAAGATTGTGTTGCCGAGTTGCACTCGTAGCTATCGGCTCCAAAGCCAAAATCTTGCCTGCGTGGCTACATAGCTGGAGCGCATCCACTTTGCGGATCAGCCCGCTCTCAGTATTCAGCGTGTGCACGAAGACGCCAGCATCCTATCACAGAGGCACACCTGCCGCTTCTTGCCAAACCAAATATCTCAAGCACTGCAGCAGATTAATCCGTCTACACATGCAAGAAGCGCTCCTTGCAGTACGTGAGCAAGCCGCCACCCCCAGGAAAACGATATTTGATGATGCGGTCCTCTACACAACGGAAAGGCCGCTAAACAAGCTGCTTCAAAACGAATGGTCCTTGCCATCTGGTTTGGCTTCCACTGCTGTGCCCAGGTTTAAGTTCAGCTCGGCCAGCAGCTGTTCTGGAGCTTTTCTACACGCCTGCTCCAGAAGCGGAAGCGTTGTAGCTGCTTGGTATCCCGCAGACTTAACCCAGATGATCCCAGATGTGTCCACAACCCAGATGCATGGCAGCACGAAGATGCTTACCACAACATGTGGTTCATGCGTGGGACATCGCGCACGCAGGCAAGCAACAAGAAAAATGTCATACTGCTCGAGAAAGCTAAGCCTCTGAATCTGAAGTTGTATAGCGTCCTTCAGGGAGCAAGAATTCCCAAGTCGCTGCCACGAGACCAAGTCCAGCAAGGCTAGAGACACCGCCAGACTCAGACAAACTTAAAGCATTCAGAAGTTGATGAGCCAGCAGGCCACAGTAAACGGGCGCTAAGGATTTCCGGAGGATCATGCAAGTAACTGTCATTTACATTTTGTATGGTCCTAGTGCACATCTCAGGCAGCCTTTGCTAGCTGCTAACTGCTCGAAGCTAAAGTCTCAAGTTATTGGCGGACTCAAGTATCTGGAGGCTGAGGCTTGTCCTCCCGGCCTGGACAATTGCGAATTTCTCGCCACACGTACTTCTGCCACAGCTCTTCAAGTGCAGCTCCACCATCCCGTGGGTACTTGCCATCGCCATAAAACAGACATGGAAACATTGGGCTCGTGGATGACAATCAACATTGCCTTTGCAGAGCCTAAAGCCTGACAGCCGGAGCGGCTCCCACTCGACCAAGGGACTGAACTCCACTGACCGACAAAAAGAAGACGGCTGAACCCTCAAAGACATATGCTCTCAGCTGGGACCTTCAAAGCCCCTACAGCTGGTCTAGCTATACGAAGCCTTTTCCTGTCGCGTCACGCTCAGGAATCTACTCCTCTGGCCCGGCAAGCCTCTACAACACACAGCACCCAGCTGCCGAGCCTCAGAGTCTTTCAGCTAGCAAGGGCGGATCCACACAACCATGGCATTCTTGGAGTATTGAGCTTCCTTCCTCTTTCAAGGAAGGGTTGCTTCTCGCGCCTGGCTGTATCGCCTTTAGGTCAAGCTTTACAGCCTCTAGCTTAAAAACCTGTTAACTAGGAAAGTACATCGTCCAGGCTCTGCGAGTACTACAAGAAGTTTGCCTTCTCAGTCGAAAGGAGTGCAAAAGGACTGGAAAATCAAGCCGGGACTTGTTACTTGCACACGCTCGTCTCTGCAAGCAATGAGCGTGTTACAAAATATTCCCAGCCCAGCGAAAAGCTCGAAGTCTATGCTGGACCTCCTCCAAAGGGTCCGTTCCTTGATGGACAACACACGCTCACCACTCGGGCAGCATTGTGATATTGCGAAACCAAGGAACTTGATGTCTGCCTTTGCCCGGATCTCTTCCAGGGTGTAATCAACCAGCAGCTGACCATCCTGCAAGTATGGATGGGCAATCATCACAGCTACTTGAGAGCATGTAGACGAGAGCTACAACGTTCTGGGAGAGAATTTGCGAAGGCATCTGCTGAACGCACACTCATGCCCAGCATATTCAAATACAGAACCTGAGGTACCGTAGTGCTCCGAGAACGGTCCAACTTGCGCCCAGGTGGGGGGACGATGTGGACGAAAGCGAATGCACATGGCCTGTACCCAAAAGGGGAGCGTGCCCACTTCTTCAGCGCCCCCGCCCCGCCCCCAATGCACCCTGTTTTGGCTCCTCAAAACGATCTCAGCAGGCCACGGCCCCAAATGCATACACAGGCGGGGGTCTAGCCCCTGGCAAACTCCAGAATTGGCCCTCATTTTGCGGGTCCCCTGATCCCCCCTTGGACTGCTCAGCAAAGTTGTGCCTTAAATGAAAGCTCAGGGAAGGGACCTTAGGGCACAGCTGAACAACATCCTTACAAAATAGTCTCAAGTGTTCTTTGGCAAGCCCCCCACAGTCACCCCCACTTTAACGTATCCTTTGCTCCTTTAAGGGCCCCGTACACGGCCCCCTGTGCAACTTTTGAAATACGCGTGATTGGTAACGACGCTACCGCTTAGCTTCAAGGTGCTGCTTTCGCGACTTGCAAGCAAAGCTGTCGCATGCGTAGACGTGGAATTGTTGCTGCGCAGCGTGCACAAGACTTCTTTCACTCTTGCTCGAGCTTGCTTTCGGATGAAGTCTGGAATTTGTCTGGTCTCGGCTAAATTGGGCTTGCTCTATAAGACTTCCGTGTTCCTGCACCGCTGGCCTGGGCAGTTGTATCTCAACATGGCGCCGGTCTTTGGTGCCTGATAAGGGTAGGTCATTGGACCTCAAGAAGATGCAAGACTCACAAACTTAATAAAGTATCAAATGCTGCAGAGTCCATTTAGATGAGCAGTCGTGCTGGGCACCTGCTAAGGCTTCCGCTGGACACGGGCATATCAGTTCTCAATTTGACACTCCTATGCAGATTCGACGGGGCAGTCCTTGAAGACGTCCACCATGATGTCCTTGGCCGGGTCGCCCTTGCCGCTTGCAACAGTGACATATTTGCCATCCGAGCTGTAGTGCCTCAGGACGAGTTGAGCTGCATCACCTCTAATGAAATGTGAAGCAGCCATGCACAGCTGGATCTTATCAGGACAGCGCAGGAAACCAGTTCCTCCAGGTGTTGGGTTGGTATCCGAACGCGGCTTGTACCTGGCCATGGGAACAGCAAACGTCAAACTGTCATATTTCGTTGAAGTGCACAGCAAACTGCCACCTTGCAGCTGCTGCCAGATCGTCAACCGTGATTCAAGACCAAAGGCCGAAGTTCAACAACTGACGGCTTGGTTGATGATCGGAATCGAAGCAACGCGAAGCAAGCGCGACTGCAAGAATCAAAACCTGTCAACTGCCCTCCTGGGGCCTCTGCTGAGAGCAAAGGGCTATAACGAAATTCAGAACTCAAGATACCAGCTGCCGGCTAAGCTCTGCTAGGCTCAGCAAGACAAGAAAGGCCATGTTAGCTACATAAAAACGACCGCCGAGCACTTGTCAGCATCTGTGAAGCCGGTGGTTTCCTTCGAACAAAGCTTGTGAGAAAGCTGTTTGCTTGGAGGAACATGTGCTGCTTGCTCTGAATACAAAGCCAAGAGTCAGAGGCCAGCTGCAGCGTCAAACGTCCTTTTTTTGACGCCTGCATGCAAAACCACTTTGCTCACTTGACAGCGTGAGAAATATTTTTGTGTCCTAGTGCCAAGGTGGAAATTGCAGATCTGTTCAAGGGGCATGCATTTCTGGTGTGCCTTGCCCTTGTCAGTGATAGGGTCTTTGAACCTGAGGCCAACGTGCCAGGCTCGCGCAGTCGAACACACACTCGCAAATACCTTCAAATACAACTCGATGTGACAGTCCATCAGCACAAAGGGTAGTCGGACTTCAGTGAGGCCAGCACACATCACGGCTCTCGCCGTTGATGGTGATTTCAGCGCACCTGTTTGGTCAACAACATCTTGATCCAAAATCAAACAATCAATCGCAGATCCAACTAGAGCCACGGCGCTTGAATGCACATTTGAAGGTGTCTCGGTTCAGCTTCTGAAGCAGCGCACCGCCACTTCCAAACCCAATGTTGTCCTTGGAATGCTTTGAAGCCAACTACTTACGAAGAGTCTCATTTAGAGGTCCTAAACCCAGTAGTGCAAATACGTCCACCCAACAACGCAATTAGTTTGCAACCAGCAGACAAGTCCGCGCAAGACAGGGACCTGCAGAAGCCTTTGAGAAGTCATGAAACCCGAAAGTTCTTCTACACCCTGTTCGATGTAGGCGGGCCGACAATGACCCACATTTGGCGATGGCACGCCGGTCGAGCTTGGCGAAGCTGACAAGCCCGCACACGAGCAACTCGCAAACCGCGAGAGGAGGCCTGAACAAGCCTCTCTCCCTCAAGAGCTACGCCTCCCAAAGAGGATGCATTTAGGCCTGCAGGGGCCTCCGTCCCGCCAGGACACCCAAGAAGGTGATCCAGGCCTTCACGAAACTACCTCGAAAAAGGGCCCCTGATGCCCCTGGGCGTTTGTGGCCCACCCCGCCCCACCCCCCCCCCGCGAAACCTCCACACCCAGTCTCGCATAACTCTTGGTGGATGAAGCATCAGGGCTGGAAGCACTGCTTGCTTCCAAGGCTCCGCAGCGATTTTCTCCTTCTTGAGCTTCTCCAAGATTTTGGGAATGGATTCCCAATCAACACCGTCGCCCTGCGACAGGAATCTCATCTGTCTCTTGAAGTCATATCACATCTGAAAGGCTTCTGCACGGGATTTGCCGTCAGGAAGCCACTTAGTCTACAAATGCCTTGATGGCGCCGCTGTCGCTAATCGTTCGAAAGCAACTGTCGCCGTTGATCCACCCTCAAGCAACCCTGCACAAGTAGCAAGTCTGCTCAGCTCGTGCTTTCTAGATTTTTCTAGCAGTCCACCTCGTCAACCTTATCCTACCAACACTGCCAGTTCAAATGGCATTTTCATTTTTCCATGCTCTGGCAAAGGCTGTCGCGCAGCTGGCCAGAAGAGGCTGCTCATGAAGCTCATCGTGTAGCGTGTGTCATACTAGACTGCTCCAGATGCATCTGGAGATGCTAGTTCACATCTCTGGCCTGGATGACACGGATGTAGGGAGGAAGCAGCTTGTGTCCTCGTGAAAAGTTGCGTCACTGGCACAGGCAGATCTCATAAGTCAACGCCCAAATGCTCGGAGTCCTGTTGGAGTCTCGGTCACATCTTCCTGCAGCAGTCACAGACTCTTTGCAGCAGCCCACGGCACTTCATGGTATGAGCCCGAGCTACCTTGAACTGCTCCAATAGAATCCTTGGCCAGCGAGAAAATTGTTGAATTCAACCTATGTTAGCAGCCGCCCAGCTGTCTGGACGTTGACCTCATTGAAACGGGGCGCTTCAGGATGGAGGTGCAGGTCTCTGCTGGATCGCCGCTATCAGGCCGAACAACCAATCGACCAAACTTGGTGTCAGTGATGCCTGAGGCAGGTGCAAATAGGCTCGGCGAAATCACACAATAAAGCGATGGCTGAATCCAGCAAGTCACACTTCCATGAATTATCTCAACCAAGTGGCGGCCCTTGATCAGATCTTTGAGCTGGCCGCCCCAATAGTCTCTGCATGCGCGCCAAATGTCAAAGGAGTCAGAGACCTCGTCACAAGATTTTAAAAGCAATCCAATCTTGGTTGCAAAACTTATAAGCGCAGCAGCGCTGGGCTCCACACTACTAGCTCGGGCTCTTGCTTCACATTAGAACCAATCGCTGCCAGGCCACGCAGGCCACCAAACCATCCGGGTAGGACTCCAGCATGTTCCTATAAGGACAGAAATAGCTATATCTATAGCTGACTGTATAGCTAGTGTCCCAGTGGAGTATTGCGCGAGAGCAGTAACTGGCTCCATAAGCAAGGGTTTCGGAAGTGCGCACACTAGCACACACACGCACTGCTCTGCGCGCTTCCTCCCGCAAAGTTTCCAGTAGCTCATCAATCAGGCCAACTGTCCAAATGCTCAAAAAACACCGTTAAGACTCGGTTCTTTGACTGCATGCCTTCTCTCCCCTGTTCCGCACCTCATGGCATCAACCTCACCCTCAACACCCCAGGACGTGATGGTGGAGTGCTCCGATGCGGGGATGGATCCGCCAGCTGCCTGTCCGCCAGAATTATGTGGCGAAATGCATCTTCCTGACTGATATGCATTTCGGCCCACCTTCTTTGCACCGTAGTAGTCCCTGGCGCAGATCATGGCGGCCACGGTGTCAGTGCCAAGGAAGTTCACAAGGTGCCTAAGTCTAAACGTCAGTGCCGCTTGATGAAGCACTTCATGCTGCTGTACCAGTCGCATGTCCCGACCCCAGCTTTCCCGGACAACACCGCGAATACAACCAGGCCTCCCTTAGCCTGAACTCTGCAACAGACTGGTTTATGCCATTCTGCCACGGAATCTGCGAATATGGCAGCACTTCATGTACCCTTCACGTCGCTCATAGACAAGCGGCGTCAAAAGTACTTGTTTGGCCTCTCCTGGTTTTTGAATTAGGGTGTCCCCTATCGATTTTCAGTTTTGGTGAGCTTAGTTTTAGGACGTCCCCTATCTATCTTGGGGATTTTTGCGCAACAACTACCCCCTAGTCTAAATGAAGTAAACGGTAGTTTTGACTGCGAGTCTAAGTGAACACATGTTGTGTCTTGCTGAGGGAAATGTCTCAGCCACGACAACATGCAAGCTCGCAAGTTGCTGGAGGAATGGTCGACCCAAGAACCCGCCGCCCATCCGAGTGTCTGCTGACAAACGATTTGCACCTTTGACGCGCAACAAAGTCCAAAAATGATGACAGTTACCCAGATGGCAAACCTGACCTTATGGGTATTGTCGCGAATGGTTCAGAATGTTGGGCACGCCAGAACAGTTTGCGATCACTTGTGGACGTTTGCGGACAATCAGCCGACCCGAGGCGAATCACACCACCACGCCCAGACCGCTCAGTTAGACAAAAACCCAGTTCTCCACGTTCGGGATTATCCTGGCCTAGACTCAAGGCCGACGGATGTTTGTTGCTGGTTTTCATATCCCTTGCTGTGTTTTTTTCTCCCTTAACAGGTCTCATGCCTAGCAACAAATGAAGAGTAGACCTTTGAAGCTACAGACTACATTACAAGGCAATCCTCTCAATCTGGACAGGCAAGACGAGAGGCGCGCATCCACCAATTGCGGCAGACTCGACAGAGGAAACTCCTCGGAAGCCGAAGTCATGCAGCTTGAAACCTCAGGCAAGTTCATTGAATTTGGACTTGCTTTCTGCCACTAATAGCACAAATCTCACAGCAAAGCCCATCTCTAGTGACTGCCGGCCAAGGCCGCAGTCACAAGGTCACAGGACCGAAGGGCCCCTCTCCCTTTGTTCGCCTCGCCTACTCCCCTTCATCTAACCTCGAACCCAAACCAGATCGTAACTTTTCGACGGAGTTTTACTTAGGACTGTCTTACTTGACATACGCGACTTCGAAGGTCAAACAAAAAAGAAAAGGAAAGGAGGACACCACATGCATGAAGAGTCTATTTCTTGGATCTGCCCAAGGACTCCATGCACGATTGATGTCAGATGCAGCTGCCAATTATGAAAGCCTCCTCAATCCAAGCTCGAAAACAACAAGACCTCGCGATCTAAAGAAACTGTTTCGTGCCTTATTCGAGGGCAATGACTAATCTCAAAGCAGAGGCATTTTCGGACCGAATTGGGGAGGGGCAGGTAGGTGTTCGGCTGGTCGACCGGGTTCCGCGCGGGCTGGTGTGGGTCCCGGAAAGGGCTGCGGGCTTTTCCCCTGGAGGGTTTGGGGGGTGTTGGGGGGAGGGGGGAAGTTTCTTGGCTGCTCAAAGTATGAAGAAAATCTGCAATTCTTTGGCGAGGCGGTCCTCGCGTTAAATTTGTTTCCAGACCTTGAAAACCAATAGGAAGTTTTTGAGCTTTATAAACTAAATTGATAGTAAATAGATCTCAATTGGTTTTTCGAAGCTGCGACCTTGAATAGCTTTTATTACATTCAGGAGCCAAAATTAAAGGATTTTAAAAGGTTTAAGATTTAGGGAGACTCACTTACTCGGCTGTTCTGACAATGAGAACAGGAAAGCTGATTCTGAAATCTGACTTGCTTCATAAGGTCATAAGGTTTATTTGGCATCAAAGCTCAACAATTGCTTCCTGAGACAGCTCGTCCGGAGCTTGCATCACAGAGTATCTCCACATGTTTATAGAACATCCTTATTCTGGGGGGGCATCCTTGTTATTGAAGAGCTCGGATTACTGAGCCTCAAGTGAACACCTTGCTGCAACGGCACAGACACCACCGGGAATTGTCCAGTCTGTGTTTCCGGTTTCCTGAAAAGGCAACACATTGCCAACGTTTGGACAGTATTTGCAAGTTATGCGTATCTGACAGACCGTACCTCCAGGTACTTGGCGATCGAGATCCTGAATGGAAACGAACCACAGGCTCACTTTCACGTGTAAGTGGCTCTTGTTATGCGAATACAATGATGGCGCAAAAAAACACAACCACATTGATGGTATGCATTTGGTGTGGAGTCAGGTTGGAGGTGCAACGTGGAACGTCCACATTGAGCTAGGGGATGCTCCAAAGGGCCGAGTTTAGGTTCTACCTGCATAGTGGACGGCTGAAATCCGAGAACTGTCAAAACATGTACAACTGCGTGGCGCAGCCAAAGATTTATGATCAGCGCGGTCATCCGTACCCACACCTTAAGTGCTCCATGCGCTGCTTCCAAGCTACTTCTGAAAGCGGCTCTGTGTGCAAACGGTCATTGGGTACCAAACCTGCACACACGACAATCGTACAGCATGACCACAACCGCTTGATGTGACAGGCCTGCACCAGCAATGTCTCCAGGAAGTTGGTCAGCCAGAAGCACTTGGGATCCTTGAACACATGTCCAAATAATTTAAATCAGGGCCAGGCACTTTGCACGTGCCGCTCTGTGGTGGTGTTCTGGCACCATGCATTCTCCGGCTGTACATCTTCCTTACGTGCCATCCTCCTCCTGCCGCCGCTGTTCGCGCGAGATTTTGCTTTGCGCGCGAGAAGCGGAAGAGCAGTAGCACTCAATGATACAATCTCCGGGACAGCGGGGACTCTCAGCGAGTTCTTGCGGAGAAAAGTGAGAGGAACTTCCCCTTTTTGTACATCTTGGACGAAAAAAAAGGCAGCAACCTTGTGATTCACTGGAAGTGCGTGTCCAGCACCATAGGGGCGATTGACAGCTTGCTGCTGTTAGATACCCTGAAAGGTAATCTCTGCACACTTGACGACGATTTTCGAATACATACCCACGAGCACTTAATTTACAATTGCTAGACAAGACTTGCTACATCATGAAGGGGCTCAAACCCCGTTCTCAACCGTCGCTGATCCCGTTTTTTTTGGTCCAGTGGCTCCTGACCCACCTTCCACACCGCTAAAATGTGCTAAAATGTGATGATGGAGAGAGACTTCCTAATCACGGCTTGCTTTGACATCACTGTTGCTCCGGCTTCATCCTTGCCAAGCTGCAGTGTTGACAAGCGTGAACAAGGCAGTCTTGGTTGGGACCACCGTGCCTCATGAGTGTAAAGGCACCAAGGATTATTTGCAAACATGTGCCTCTCACACTCGCACTTGCAGCTCATTCCCCACAAAAACTTCTGGGTAAGTCAAAGCCTTCTGACAATCTTGTTCCATATCCTCAGGAAGAATGCAGGCCGGACTGTGCCTTCAGGCACTGCCTTGATGTGCACTGGTAGCCTGCGTCATGCAAAGAGATGCTTTGCAGCTTGTGGATGCTAAGCAATTGCAGTTCTTCCAAAGCTGTGCACAAGGTAGGGCAGGCGCTAAACCAGGTATCAAGGGAGGAACCGGGGCTGAAGCGCAAAGACACTGAGCCAGACCTGTGAGACATTACGAAAATGTTGTAGCCTGCCGCCATGCTCCTTCAAGATGTACTCCCATCCCTCGCGGTAAAACCTCAAGCAACACACAGGATTGCTAGGTCCAAGGGGAGACTCGTGAGTAGTTAGCACTCTAGGCCACGACTTCCTGAAGCCTGCAACACGGTCAGATGAAAAGCTAACATCATCCCTTACCACATGCACCCAGAGTCACATAGATGGATTGTCGTTCACCTGGAGTGGCACAAGTCCACTCAAACTCCACTGCAACGTCTTGAATGCCTCTGGGAAGATTCACGGCATTGCAGCCAAGGATCGCCGTCTCCGAAATGCTGGGCATAGATCTCGGCTGCCTCATCGATCTTCTCCTGTGGCGGTAGCTTTGTCGCCGGAACACATTGACTTTTCACAGATGATACGAGTGCTCTGGCCTTGGTCACAACTGGGCCAAGCAGGTAGCGCTTGATGAAGTACCTTCAAAGCAGCTTCATGCAGCTTCCAGTGTCTTGAGGACGGCAACTCGGCTGTCCTGCATGTTAAGATTTGCTCGGGCCTGCGAATGCTATCCGAGGCTAAGTGCTTCAGAGACACTGCAGACCAAAGAAAACGACCTCGTTCCAACCCGCGTTATCACAGCCGCGGCTCTCAAAATAGCCTCAGCTTGCACATGGCTTCTCAGGCCAACTTCCTCGAAACTGCAGAGATGAGACGCAAAAAGACGACCCCTAAGGTAGCCAAGCCACTGTAGACGTACTGCGTTCCCGCCGGATACTGCTTCCAATGGCTGACTTTGTAGCTGTCCTGAGCTGCAGCCGTTTGTCTGTAGGCGCTACCCCTTGGTTGAAAACTTAATTGTTTCACGAAGCAGGCGTTGTCGAATGAAACGTGTTGTGTTTCCGAGCGGCTGAAAGCAATATGATGTTCCTCGGATATTCATGCTTGACTCATTCACTCTGCTTCCCTACCTTGCTGACAGCATGACCAGAAGAGCAAATTGGCTTCATGACGGAACTGTCACCTGTAAAAAATCTTTCCCTGTGTAAATCAGCAAGTCCATATCTTCCTGGCTACTACGCTGGTTCCATCGAGCGCTTCAGACTGTCCAAGCAGCTCCGTCCAGGGAACGCACTCCATCAGCACCTTCCACACCCTGAAACAACTCCACATGACTCCAGCACAGTCAAACACCCAGAGGAATCTGCTGGCACGGGAGGATGGGGGGAGATGTCCAACATTTTCCAGTTTTGGTAGCGAACAATGAAACACAGCAATGGCAGATTTGCTGTCTCGCGTGCAGGTCCGCTCTAATCCCTGTCTGCATTGCCACCTGCTGTTTTACGGAAAGAGAGCATCCATGAAGATTCCACTATTCGGCTGCACTGTCATCACAAAAACTTTCAAGCGGCCTGGGCTATACTGTCTACATGCTCAAGCCGCTCGCACCCGCCAGCCTGCTCCCAGGAAGCGAGAAGTAGCCCAAATGTTTTCGTGTAAAAGCTGCAGACACACAAAGTCTATCATCTGCTTGTCATCCACGATGTGTCAGCACCTCCGCGTGGATAATCCTTCCGAGTTCTTGCTCGAACAAATGCGAATCCTAGGTGTGCACAGTCAACTTGAAAAGTCAAAGAGCACTTTCTGTACAAGTGGATGGAATGGCTGAGGTTCGTATGTCGACCTTTATTCATCTGCCATGGTAGAGGCTTGCTTTCTTTACCGAAAGCACTTGGCATCAAAGCGGACAATGAAGTCCCGAGTTGCATGCTGCAGCAAGCCCTCAAACTGTTTCACCATTTTGCCTGAGCTGAAAGGCGCTTATCTGCGAGCGCTGAAGGCGGCTTCAGATTTCCTGAAGTGCTTTCCGCGCACGCTTCTCTAAGAGCTTGCTCAACTGCCAGATGCTTGCTCTGCAGGCATGCAGCAGGCACAAATTAAACCCTGCGCTCAGCAAATTCTACACTTATCTTGTTGGCATTCAACAGTGACGTTACTGAAAGCATGACAATGAACATACACAACCCCAGCATCACAATGGCACATCCTCTCACTTAGGCTTCCCTGCAACAGCTGATAGTCAGGCGCAAAAGGCAGGAAGATTCCGAACTGGCCTCTCTTTGCTGAGGTGCTGCGAGACTTCTTGCCCTTGTGCCCGCAACAGATTCCAGTTTTCCAGAGACGCTTTGACCATCAAGTGCCAGACTTTCCCCAGCTTCTTTTTCTTCTTGGTTTTCTTCTTCTTGGCCTGAGTTGCTGCTCGAGGCCGTGCACGTGATCGGCATCGGCATTGCTCTGTCACAGAAGTAAGGCCAAGCACAAGAAATGGGTTGGACAGCAGGTCCCTTGGCTGCATCAAGTTTGTCTTTGAATAGCACGCAAGGACATGACAGCTGACGCCTCTTTGTTGTGCACATGTTGCAAACAAGCGGCGGGTTCGTGTTGACGATATAAATCCCGTTGAGGTGTCCAGGCTGCGCGAGACGGGTAAATCAAAAACCGAAGTGGACACAAGAATGTCCTCCCTCACAGTACTGAGCAACAGGCATTGAGCTTGTGGGCAGGCATGACCAACGCTCTCTCCAGTACTGCCACGTTGACGGGGTAGCTCCTCTTCAATGATTCTAAGCTGAACGCCGGGTGGCAACATGCAAAGCAAGCAAGCAGGACAAACGTCCTGCTGGCACAAACTCTCTTGATGTCCTGCGCTTCTGCACTTCCGAAGCACCATCCAAAACAAGCCATTGTATGCAAGCTTTGTTTTTATTGATGTCCTCCACTTCTTGCAGCTGCTGGAAGCGGATCTGCGCAGGGTGTACCGCTTCGTGCTTGATGCATAAATGGAGCCCTTCTTATAACTGGCCTGCTTGCACTTGCATGTAGGAAAATGTAAGTGTTTTTGGACGTTAGGACATGCTGGCTCTCCGCTAGCCAATATGCTACTGAAGACGAGTGTGCGGACGTCGAGCATGTTTATAAAATACCCGGAAGTCTAAACGTTTGTATACTCTCTCCGCAAGATTCCGCAAGGCTCAACCGGCAGAGGCCACCCCATCGCTTACACATCCGGAAGACATCATCTGGCAATTGACACTTGAGTGCCCGGATTACCCGGAATAAATGCGACTTCAAACGAACTTCGATACTCAGTGATAGGTGGAATCACTTGCCTCGTCCAGCGTCACGCCAGTGCCATCTTGCCTTGAGACAGGAGCACTCCAAGCTTAAAATGGCTGGTGCAGGGAAAAACACAGACCTGGCCAGAGTCGATTTCTTTGATTTGAGATTTCTCTTGCAGAAAAGTCTCGGAGGGAGGATGGGTGGATGAAGACTTGCCCACCTTAGGCAGACCATACTCCAAACTACAATGTCTTCTTGCACGCCAGGCTTTCCAGCTTGACACATGCCGCTATGCTGCTCAGCCTGAGCTTGCTGCCAATCACACACGCCGACCAAAACATTCGAGTCGTCCTACCGTGTTCACACGCTTGCATGATCTGCGCACGCATACATTCAGAACTTGAACTTTATGAGGACATCCTCCATTCGAGGAACTGCTGCAGCATCGTCATCTATGGCAGCCTGTCGCTTCGCTGCTCATGCAGCTTCAATTCAGACAGCTCTCAAAGAAATTGAGGCTGTGACATATGCGCTCAGCCTCAGCTGTTATGCTTGCATGGACTAGTCAAGTTGAGTTTACACATTGACTCAGATATGCTGCAAAGGTTCATGACATTCGCATCATCTTGTGGATGCGTCCCAGTGTACTCCAAGCCTTCCACTCTTCTTTTGTGGTCAGCACAGGAACACCCCTACGGCTGCTGCCTTCGTCTTCATTTTCCTCCTCAGAATAGCGATGCTCCTGGGAGACATGTGTACAGGAACTAAGGACCATCAGCACCGCAGCGCTGAGGCTTATACATCTTCGAGTAAATGGGCGTGTATTCGCCGCAGGTGCGCGATCCTGCAGCTTGTACACCACATCGTTGGGAAAAAACTCGACAAATGTCCGGTCTTGCATGTCCTGGAATTCAAGGCCTTTGGCCTCTTATCTGCGTTTTCGGCGAAACGGGCGCTGACCTGCAAAGGAGCCGGTGGCACAGGGTCGCGCAATTGGAATGCCTGCCTGGAAGGAGTACCTTTTTGGCTGCGAGACGTCCACACGACACGGCTCGCTTGGCCTTGCGAAGCCAAGTTGACTCAAGTGGGTGCCACTCTAGACTGTAGCGTACGACTCAGCTGTCTCCTAATCTTCTGTCTTAAGACTCAAGGTCATGTCACAGCATCTTAGAATGCCTCCTGCAAGATAGAGGCCGCTGGTTGCTGCCAATAGTTTGGTTGCAGAATGTTCCTACTGAAGTCTGCCATGTAGCAGCGTGATGCAAACGGTCACGCAAAGAAAAACGCTGTGAACAGCTGAGCAACTCAACACCCTCTGCCTCCTGCTATGACGTTCACGGCTTCGTCCCCCACTCCCCTCCACCTAACCAGGCTGGGAATGCAAGCAATGAAGTGTGAAGTATGTATCGATTGTGAACTGCACAGCAGCGCTTGCCACCTGATCTGCGACTGTGGCATCTATGTCCTGGAAATACAAATTGTCTCTCGATGCTCTCTCAAAAGCCTGCAAAGCTGGAAGGTCCTCAAGCGCGTCTGCTGGCTCCACGTACCTTCGTCTCTCCAGCGCCTGGGAAATAGTGGAAATAGTATTCTGCAGCTGCGTATCTAGCCGTCGCACCTGAGGCCCGAGCACACTGAAAGCGCGTGGCCTTTGCTCCATGAATTCACTAAACCACACACATGTTGGCCTCCGAACACTGCTACACCGGCCTCTGCATTTCTTGAAATCTCTTCCTCCACTCGCGCACGGCCTCGACAAGGCTCTGAAAGTGCAACAGCGAACATCCCTTGTCCCTGGCCCCAGAGCTAAAGGAAGATTTGAAGGGGCAGATCTGGGCTTTGCTGCTCCCAACTGAACTCAAAACGATGCTGCCAAGTCTGCTCCATCCATTTTGTTAGCTTGCGGATCACATGCTGTTCTGACCAAGGCTGCTGATGTCACTCCTTGTATAGTCCGATGCCATGGACAAGTTGGGGGGTCCTATCGGTTTTGGGGGTTTCAAGAAGGTATCTCTTTTGGGGGATTCGGCCAAAACACAGTAATGTTTACAAGGAGGCGGAAGCTTCCTTGCCATGCCAAGTGGGCATGTAGTGTGAAACTGCCAAACGTCGAATATGTTTGAAGCACCGGCTTGGCTGGCGAGGTGTAGCCAGCTCGATCCACCGTCTACAACCTGGGTATGCCTTTATCACAGCCAGCATGGTGGCCGAAGTAGAGGGAAAGTTATGCTCAGCACTAGACGCTCCGCCCAATCACGAACAGCTGTACGCTGCTCTTCCCCGACCACCTTCGCTGTGCAGTCAGGGATCACTCAGAAGCCTGGCAGCAGGACTGGCTGAACAGCGCCTTGTCTGTGATGGCGCGGTTCCTCTTTGAAAGCCATCGCCTCAGCTGAAGAGCTTGTTTACAGAGGTCTGTGCTGGCTCAGCCAAGTGCATGTACAGTCTCAGCTAACCACTTCTCCATCCTGTGCTCAGCTTCTGTTGATGGATACGGCAGCAGGTCTGCCACAAACAAGAGAAGTTGCTGCCAGCTGGGATGAAAAATGCTTCGTGTAGCTCATCTCAGGCTTCAACGGTCGTCATTCTCGCTTGCATGCTGAAGCACCATTTCCCTAACGGCCATACGTATTTTTACGTGTAAAGATTCAAGCGACATGCTACAATCACTTCTCGGGATCTGACTCCTCCAGTGTTTGTGGCAAGCCAGCCACCTTGAAGATATGTCAGTCGATTTGGTGGGGGCCCAAGGATCCAAACATGCAGCTGCTCACAAAGTCAAGGTGGGCACGGTGGAGGCATTCGATGCAGCCGACTGCGGCCTGACTGAACTTCGGAGATCGAAAGCTCGTTCTATCATTCCACACATTTATAGCAGCCTGTGCCGCACGGTGCTTCGCGGCGTCACCTTTGTGCGGCGCAGTTTTATCCCTTACGTCTTTAAAGCATCGCGGCACGTAGATAGCGACCCTATCTCCAGGCAACCAACCAAGGAAAGCGTCAGCTCCACCTTAAGCGCTGCACGGCGCGGCCACTGGTGGTCTGACCCTGACAGTCCATAGAAGCTAATATGCGATATCATTCCATCACTCCAGACTGAAAGCATCCCGGAGGACGCTGCAGGCAGAGAGGCAGAGATGGGTAGAGGCAAGCGAGCGCAGGCACAACATACAAAAAGGTGATACTTCATTGAAGGAGGCGTTGGGGCCCCAGCAATGCTCATGGCTGACGTCGGTCGGGAGACTGCAGCAGAAGAAATGCTTGTTGTTATGCTTTTGCACGGGCAACAGAATTCTAAGACTTTGAGAGTGGAAAGAGTGGAGGGCCTGCAGTGTGAGCCGGGGTTGGTGACCTTGCTGAGGCTGAGACCTGTTTGCAAGAATGCTGCCAAGTATTCATGGCGCTGCAAGATGCTGGTCTGTATACCAGCATAAAATCTGAGACTCATTCCATGGAGCGAGCTGTGAGGCCTTAGCTTGAAGCGCCAGGAAAGGCTCTCAAATCTCTCAACGCCAGTGAGTATGTCAAGTATGGCAAACTGTGCTATGGCCTCCAGAGGTTGTAGACGGGGTAAGCGGTCTATCATGATCCAGCTCTCCACGCTGCTCCAAGTCCTCTGCCCGCAAATGAGCATACAGTGCCATGCAGTGCCCAGCAGCACAGAAATCGAATCTGCGAGCAATCTTTTTCGCACATCTTGCCTTCAGTTTTCTGGCCGTAAGCGGGCGCACCAGCTGCCTTGTGCTGAAGTCCTGCAATGCTCCATGGAGTGACTCATGTCATCGGAGCCAAGTAAGCCAGAAGTTCGAGACAAGAAAGCATCCAAAACGAGCTAGACCAGAAAAATACATGCAATCAATGAATCAAGTTTCACAGCTACATGGATTAACGTTGAACTAAGCAGCCAACCCGTGCGCTGTAGCTACACCAGCATGACAATAACTAGCTCATATATGTTGATACAGAAACAAAGCACAAGCTGATCATGTGCTGCTGATTATTGTGACTGCAGGACAGCATGCCACACCTACAAACATGAAGCTGGAAGATGGCCTTGAGGCGCTCCCTTGGTGAAGCTAACTTGACCTGCATAAGATGGCAGAAGCGGAGGGAGCATGAAGCAGCAGCAAGCACCAAGCATAGCGGCCTGAACTGTGTAGCGCCCAGCAACTGTTGGAAGTGTATCTTTCAAGGCCTGCCACCGCGCATCACTGCCAAACAAACAAATGTCCTGTTGCGCAGCTGGAGATCAATACCAGTGCCCCATTTTGGGAGATTGGCTTCTGTAAGCACGAGAATGAGAACATTCAAAATCGTAGCCTTGTGAGTCCTTCACCTGAAAGTCCTGCTGTCTTGCATGAACAGTGCTGGCTTTGGAACAGTGCTTTCGCCGCGGTTCTCTCGTGCTATTGCTCTTAGGCTGCACCAGCACCCTTCGTCAAGGCTTGCGAAAACTTACATGTGCGTCGGACTGGGTCTGGCTTTCATCACTAGCAACATGGCTACTCTGTGCCTCGAGCTTGAGGCTATCGTGCGATGAAGAGGCACCGGGACGCTCTGTGTCACCGGTCTCAGGAGCAAAGAACGCAGAGCCCGGGGGAGCTGGGTGCCTCAGCACCTCGTCTGCGCAAAAATTGTGGAAGCCTGGCCCTGTTGTAGACAGCGCCTGGTGCGCGGAGCGTCTGGCGTTTCTGTACCACTTGTAGGCCCCGTCGAGCTGCCGCTCGGCTGCATCGGGATCGGTGCTCATAAGCACAGCATCTATTAGTTTTCGAAGTCCCTGTCGCAGTTGTACAAGCCAAACAGCTTTGGTTTCGCTGCCTGCGCTGGGATGATCCAATTCTGGAGGCTCTGGAGACAAAAGAGCTTCTTGCATCTCCTGAAGCCGTGGATCCTGCTGTACTCTCAGAAACCTTTGTGCATTGCCAGCAGTGAGGGCAGAGCTGGCACCTGAGCTTCGCTTTGGTCTAGCAATGCTCAGCGGATACTTTCCGGAAGCAACTTGTTCTTCAACCTTCCTGCGTTCCTCCTGAGCCTTCTCCAGTCTGGATGCTACATCCTCAAGTTGCAGATCGACAGGCAGGTTGGGCAGTACAGTCCAGGGAAGGTTCACATCCGGCCCACGGTAGGAGCTGATTGGCAAATCTAAGAGGCCAGGCCCTTTTGACCCAGGAACATCTGACGACATCTCCGCAAGGTATGCCATTGAGACTCAAAAAGAAAGCAACCTCCGACAGCTTATTCTCCATGCTGGCGAGTTTGCTTGCAGGATATGGGACTGAAAAGAACATACTCTTCATTTCATTTGACTAAACCTGTTCGGGCAGGGGGCTGTACGAGCAAGGTTTCTGCTCGATATCTGCCCCCTTCCTTCCATGTAGCAAGGGCACAATGGCGACAGCATAGTGACTCAGCTTGCCAACTCATGATGTCAGTCACAGCTGCAATGCAAGAGTCTGCCAACACCATGAGCCCCCACGACTACATTAGGAAACGATTCTAGGATCCTGGAGTGAACTCTGGCATCTCTGGCATGCGGGAGCAGAAAGTTGGCATGTACGAGTATTTTTCTGCTGCCATCTCGTTCTAGTTGATGCAGCAGCATTCCAATGGGTGGTGAGACTACCATCTCTTCACTGGCCCCCCGGATAGGTGAAACGAGTTGTTGGGACAACTGCGGGAAAGTTCGTCGATGAAGTCTGCCGCATCATTGACAGGGCGCGCCAGCCAGTGAAGTCCAGGGAACTGATTGAGGGTTTCAACGTCCCCTTGCATGGCTTTCTCCAGCTGGCTAAACCTTGGCCTCTCAGCAGGATCAGTCCGCCATAAGGCGTTGATGAAGCTCTTCAGCTCGTCTGGAAATGGTGGATAATATCCGCAGCTAGTGATTTTCCGCCACAACATGTCATTGCCCATCCCACTAACATCATCCCAACTCGCGACACCGCCTCCAGCACTGAAGGCCGGAAGTTTTCCATGAAGGTAAAACGCAATCACCCCGACACTCCAGACGTCAGACCACTCGCAATCATAGGCTTTGCCTCCTGATACTTCTGGCGCATTAAAAGCTGGTGTTCCATATGGGTTGGTCGTCGTAGTTCTGGCAAGCGAGTGCGGGGCAGGAACCCCAGCTTCTCTCACGCGCTTGGCATGGCCCATGTCGATGATGACAATGCGGCCATGTTCGTTGATGAGCAGGTTCTCCTGATTTACGTGCATGGACGTGTGTGTACGTGCGTGTGCCTGCTAGTTAAGCACATGTACTCGGAGCAATGCAACAAAAACACAGACTTGGTGTTGGGCCTAGGCTCGGGCTTGAGGTCTCGGTGCGTGACGCCATATCTATAGCATTCAGCCATGCCGCTTATGACATCCTGCAAGATTCGTCTCGATGTGCCCTCACTTAAGGGCTTGCCGGCTACGGACGGCTCTGGTGAAGCGAGAACATCGAAGAGTTCACCATTTGGAATGTGCTCCATAAAGATGATGTGATGTGCTGGAGAGAAGAGCTCATGCACATCCAAGACGATCATCTCATACCTCAGATGTGTCGCTTCAGCCAACACCAACTTCACCCCATGGCACATCTCAGGATCAAGTCCAAGCTCAGCGCTTGATGAAGTTGTCGTGAATGACCAGCTGGCGCGGAAGCTCTTGCACAAGCTTGACTTCCATAGAGTCAAATTTGTTGCAGAACTTTGCCTGGAGGTACCAGGAAAGGCTAGAACAGGAGTTTTGCCATCTGCTGGTTCATGCTTGGTCCCCTCTGCCCCACAGCTAGTGTCCATAAATTCCAGCTCAGATGCCGCAAATTTCTCGCCTGTTGCAGTCCTGCCAGCCGAGCAGGCAACTTCACTTACAGAATCTGAAAAACATTCGCGGTCAGTCCTTGTGACTAGATACGTCTGTCCTTCCGCACCATAGTTCCTGAAGCTCAAATAAGAGTCAACTGGAAGTAGGCAGCAAATCTGTTTCAGCAGAGGCACAAGAACTTGTCTACCTGCTTTCATTGCGACCAACTGCTTTACATTCGCCAAAAGTGGAGTGAGTGACTCGGGCAACCGCAGACCACTCATCTTTCGCAATCTCCATTGTCATCTGGCCGTACCAGACCTGACATTTCATCGACTAGAGGTAAGGCACAAATGTTTCTGCTGTCTCTGAGAAGCCATCTGCAAATACACCAGCGGTGATCCCAAACCAAGTGACGCGGTCTGGAGCAGGCGTGAGCCCATCGAAGTTCAGGTCTGAACGGCCTTTGATGTGAATATCACCTCGGAATTATGGCAGGCAGCATGCGGCGTTGTGCGAAGACGGTACTCCGAGCAAGACGCCTCCTCTGAATACAGGAATGCCACCGGCCGAAGAACTCCTTGCAACGAGGTTCCTACATTGAATGCAACTCCAGTACAAACCTACAGAAACACAGCATATTTCCTGTGCAACAGGAGCGGAGGCGGCGGTGGTGGTGGCGGTGCCTCGTCCGCCATGGCAGTGATTGGGCCCCTCTGTCAATGACCCTCAGGGCTGATGTGCGTCTGTGTGTTTTGACAAAGAAATGCCGCACGGATGTCAATGAGTAATATATGCCATGCGCGGATTTGCCATGAAGAGGCATCACATCATCCAGCTTGGTCCACCATGTTGACAGATCAGTAGCCACATGTTGTGCGGAGGCATGATCTGGGCCAACCGATCCGCACGGTATTTTGGCAGGCAGGTGCTGGCGTTCAGCTTGCCGGTGGTGCAGGTAGCGCAGGCCACTGTGGGCCCTCTTGTGGGGGCAACTGAGGGCCCTCACGCGGCATGTCCTCGCGTTTTGAAGGTCAACAGAAATCAAGAATGGACATCTGCTCCCTTTGAACTGATGGAAGCTTTATGCTCGTAGACTTACTCTTCAGAGAGCTCGTCCTGCGGCAACGTCTCATGCACCTTCGGCAAGCGGAACTCATTGAGGCGCAGAAGCAGCAGCACCTAGGCACCAATATGTAACTCACAGACACTCGGAGCCTGTGATTCCAAGGCCATCACCAGTGCCCATGCCCAAAGCCTAGGCTGCCCACAGCAGGCATGGAGATTACCCTGAAAGATGCCAGCCTTAGTCCTCTGCGCAAGAGCCGCTACAATGCATCCTGCAGCCAATCCTGCTCAGCAACGTCCGGGAGTTTCAGGTCGCAAAACTGCAATGCCACCCAAATGCATGCTGAGCTGTTCATGCTGAGGAAATTCTGAATGTGAGCTTCAGGCATAACACGCTAAGGGAACGAAGGACGACTGTTCAGCCGAATCAATTCAACCACATTGACTGGTGTGGGCTTTGCAAGGTGTCTGGAGAGAATTCGACGCAGGATGCAGCTTGGTCAGAATCATTGGAGGAAACAGGTTGCTTGTTTTGCTTAAGTTCCATGTCTCATGGATCTCGCGTGACCGTACCTCCCCCAAGTGGATGATCCAAACACATTGAGAAAGTCTGTGTATGGCAGCGCGCCTGCGACGAGCTTTGATCTGACGGACGGCGCTCTGACCTTTCCAGCCAGCAGGGCAAGCTCACCCCAACCGACAGGGCATCCTGAGGAAGCATAGCATGGGTAATTAAGCCAGGAACTAGGCGCCGCTGCCGACGCGCCACACGTTGACCTTTGCATCCAACCTTCAACCCGTGCTACACCTGGCCAACAGCGGGGGACTGAGTGCATCGCTGAAGGGTACGTGCTGGTACCCCAACTGGATCAAGGCACGGTATAAAATCTACAAGGGTTCCAACTGCTTCAGTGCATTATTCTGGCCTCATGATCAACAGGGTCATCATCCGTCTGTGTCGTCACCTGCACTATGTCTGGCCACCCAGTATGCAAGCCTTCACATTCTGGGCGGTCAAACCGTCTGATCAAGGCTAGCTCAGAGGCTCGGGATCCAGGTGAGATCACAGCTTTGCTTGCCGGAAGTATTGTTGTGATTCTTGTTGCGAATATTTTTGCTGCTGAATTTCCAAAGAAAATCTGCCACCAGTACTCCATTGACTCGCGATTTCTTTGGCTCAGGGGGCCTTTGCCTTTTGATCTGCATGTTCTGTGCCTTGTCCATTCTATGCATTCAATTTCTACTACTGCATTCTGCTCCAAGTTGAGTGTAGCAATGGCAGGGCCCCTTATCCGTACTGGGCGACAAAATTGCCCATGCTTCATGGGTAGGGACCCTGCAGTTACATGCATACAAGTTCTCTTCGGAGTTCACTGTATGTGGTCTTTTCACAGGGCCTGCTCTGCATTTGAAATCCCAAGAAGAGTGGGACCTCAAGAGATGTGGCAGCGCTATTCCATGAAAACTGCAGGTACCAGCAGCACCAGCGGCAGCAGCAGCAGCGGCGGCAGCAGCAGCACCACGGGCGCCACCACCGCAACAACGACAGCAACAACAACGACGACGACGACGACAACAAAAACAAATCAAATCGGCATTCAACTAGTTGAAGCTAGTACCGCGAAAAGGACTTAGAGTCTTAGGGTACTGCCAGATGTACCAACACAATGGAATACTGACAATGTGCCAACATGAGATAGTTAGGGGGGGTAGGATCCTACGTGAGACCAAAGAGGGGATAAATTTCCTTCAAGCCCAATTTACATGCTCTACGTGTTAACGGATCTAAAATTCTGCCCAAAAACATAGCGTTCCAGAAGATTATTCGTAATCAAAATCTTCTTCGCGACGGAAGAGGTCAATATGTGTCAATATATGATTGATGAGATATGCTGCAATGAAAGATGAGTTCTTTCGCAGCACTCAGTACGCATCACATGTCAATGAAACCCTGTATGTATGTACTATGATACCTGGTACTGCAGTATATACGTAAAAGGTTTCATTTAGATGTGAAAGTCAATACCAGTAATCAATACGTAATTAACTCTTCATGGGAACGTGGGAGTGAGTCGCAACCTCGTGCCCGTTCGCCCGCGCAGACAAGCTGTAAAAAGACGGCTTGTCACGCCAGGCGCGCCCCTGTTACATACCCCCTGTAACGGGGTATGTCACGTGTGAGGGCGAAAGCCTTGTTACAAGCCTTTGGTTCTTGACCCGCCCCCATGTTGACGGAGGTACTGTGGAAGAGCTGTCAACTCATCATGTAAGATTGAGGGTTCGATGAGTTTCCAGTTGTTTTTCATGTGTTGAAAGTCGACGGTCTTCACATGTCGTGGCTCTAGGGAGTCTGCCGACATGGAGCATGGCTAATCTAAACCCGTGCGGCCAGCACTCAGCCAGGATTGGCTAGCTATGCTAGCTCCAAAGCGGTTCTACTGTAAGTTCGCTGACCCATACCCGCCGGACAGGCACTAAAGGTGGGAACGTTGGCCGAAGATCTATTGAGCCTCGCCAAGGGCTGAGGGATCCCTTTATTGAGCCGTTGGCTCCAGAAATTCAACATGTTCACAGCATCAAGACCAAGACTCAACAGCGTAGCGGCGACCAAGTTGATAAGCCGAGTATCAGCTCAAGTTGCCAGCAAACTTCTAACCCCCACCCCCGGCAAAAGCAGTGAAACAGGGTCTGTAAACAGTTCTCGGCCCCCCCCCGATCGAGCCAGGAAACAGTTGAACAAACCTCTCTTTAAAGATCAAGGGGTGTTTATTAAAAACAAAAAGCCTCATAAAATCTGAATCTAAACATGTTTCCTCAAGCAGCAAGAGATTTAAAAAAAAACAACGAAAAGCTTTTAATACGCTGTGAATTCAGAAGGGCTTCCATGAACAATCTGCGCATTACCCCCCCAAAAAAAGCAATCTTGTAAAATCTCAGGGTCGGGGATGGGGGGTCGAAGTTGTCTGATGATCAATTGCTGCCTCACACCCCATGCAGCCTGTAGCCTTCAAGGATGTCTTAATAAACAAAGAGGAACAACAATCGCACACAAAGCCCGCCTCGAGCGAAACGTATGAAGGGCCCTTGGATTTGCTAGTCATGCCTGAAGATTAAGCGTGCTTGCGTCGTGCTTGAAGATCTGGCCTCTGTCCAAGCGAGGTGGTACTGTTGCAGTTGCAATGTGTTGTAGCAAGTCTGTATGCAAGCCCACCTGCAAGCTAGGAGCAAGCTGCCACGGTCGCAGAGAGGAAAGGTACACAGCGATGGCAGTCGGCCAGCGACAAATGCACATGCTCACACAATGGCTAAACATGACAAATTCTTTTTGAGGAATATAGCAAAGCACGACTGACAAGAACTTCTTGTTCTCTATCAGCAAGGCAGGGAACGCGGCTCTGGGGATCTCTGCACATGTGTTGACTTCGACCTGTGGATGGTAGCTCCATGGCAATGACTACCGCGTTTCATCACTGTCGTCACTGTTGCCGCCTGGCTGAACGTCGGGATCCCTTCCAGTTCCACCCTTTGAGATTCTCTGTCTTGACGTGCAGAGCAGCTCTGCATCGGGCCATCGCCACTTAAGATGGATGCCACGACTGCCGGACCTGCCAATCTATCCTTAACCGGGGCCTGCAACCACTGAGGACGTCACAGCTCGCCACGGTCAACCTGCCGAACTTAGTTCAGCACAGAAAGCAAAGAGCAATGCGACACGCCCACACAGCCTCACGTTGAATATCGAGAGAATGAGATACCTTGCCGCGCGATGACAACAGCGAATCGCATTCAGGGCATGGTCAAATGAAGCGCAATGCCTAGTTGCAGCCGGGTGACTGGGCTCTCAAAAAGAACTGTCTGCTCTTCGGCCCTCTTGCGAAAAGCTTCTTCTATCCTGCCTGAGTTGTCACATCAGCGGAAACAAGTTTATCAGGCACTTTGCCGAATTGTTGATCTTCTGTTTTTGTCAAGCTGCTGTTCATGACAGGATATCCGCTACCAACCATGCTGTAGATGCTGTCCATGTCCTTGGTGTTGGCCATAGATTTTCACATATTCCAAATTTTCCTCTTCCAGGCTCCTTTGCCTCAGAAGATCCTAATCTGCCAAGCAACAATAGCCATGCGAAGCCCAGCGCATAGATCGCCAGATCGATACGAGGGGGAGTCTCTACAAAGCTCCACGGGATCTTTGGTAAATCGCCTTGGTCGGTTGAATACCATGCAACTTCATGGAGCATTGGTGACAACCTAAGAGCAGCGATCACAGAACTTCAAGAAGCCAAGGCTGAGTGACTTGGTTTGAGAGTTGTAAAGATGTAGGGACCAGCAGCGTCTCCAATCGATGGTGCCAGACTCTTCCATCAATTCCACAAAGTCCGATGCATGCCAGGAGGATGCAAAGAAGCCACTGCTATGAGCAAGAATTGCAACTCCTGGTGGCCGCGTGCTGGCCAGCATGTCGTCCAGCACATGCCTTTGCAAACGCGATGAAGTTCGGACATGCAACGATGAATTGCATAGAGGCATACAGACCGTTAGGGGATGTATTGCACAACAGGCTAGTCTTCAGAGACAAACATGACTTATGAACTTATGATACACCCATCATCATTGCATTTTCCTTCTAGTTGTTGCCCGTAATTATGTAAAAAGCGCTGTATTCACATGGCAGCACGAAGCCTCACTACGAAAGCTATATCGAGGGAACATCTCCTTCACACAGCAAGGCTCCCAGCATGTATCCCCCAGGATCCAGTGTAAGCCCGCTTCATGCGATCAAGCAAGGTTGGCAACAAGGGTGAGCCTTTCTCAAACATCATCAGCCCAACTGTGGCACGCAGCTCTTCGCCACCCTGTCTGGCCAGTACTGCCCTCCATCGTCTTAGCTCCTCGAACCCCCGCAAAGATAAAGCGTCAGCGTCCATGTATATACCACCCCAATCATGCAGAATCTTGATGCGTATGAAGTCAGCTATAAAAGCAGGATGGCTGAGCCGAAGTCCATTCAGGGAGTTGGGCACTGCTGAGCGCGGGAATGGGACTACATCACTAATGAAAGCCTTGGCCGCCTGCCACCAATCATTGAAAGTGCTGGGTTCCACTCCGTCCAGCACATGAACGAGTAGCTTCTCAGGCTGCAGCTTCTCCCGTGCACTACGGACAGCTGCATAACACGGCCAGTCGAAGAAGCGTGTGTCACGATCTGTTAAAACCAAGTGGACAATATTTGGAATCGGGACACTCCAGGAAATGCTGGGAGCAGTAGAGCCACAGGTGCACCCGATAATTGCAGACTGATGCTCTTTGTTGCAAACCGCCGTTGTGGGGCAAGACTCCCATTGGAAGCCTTGCTTGCTACGATGCAAATGCAGAGCTGCAAACTCCACTCGGTCACCCAGTAAGTGAGGCGGTGAGGGCCATAGCATCAAACTTTCGCCAATTTCATATGCTGCGCCAAACGAATCGCCGGCCTCAGATGGAATGCACACAAAGCTCCAACCAGGTCCGAACTCAGTGTAGCAGTCTGAAGTGTTCTGCAGCCTGTGCACTTCCATGTTCCAGCGCTCCATGTCCGCAAATGGCAACCCTTGACTACCGTGCACAAGCAGCCTGCCGCGCTCACGGGTCAGCTTCTGCGGCCCTCGACCAGACAGCCGGGCCCATCTTGGCTCAATAAGCAACCAGCTGAAATCTATATAGATTCGTGCTTTCCTCAGAGCCGCATACCATATGGCAAGCTTCTCGTCGAAGAAGAGGTTGGCCTCAGACAGAAGCCCTTCCACGTAGCAGCCTCCATAGTTCACATGGCCTTCACCTTGTAGGCAGCCATCAAGAAATCGACGCCACACTCCAGTGTTCTGAAAAACCGTAAGTTGACCTGACAAGTACAATGCTGGCCTAGCACCATCAGGAGCTGATATCACATCATACTCTGCCAGGAGTTGAGGAGTGAGAAATTCATCCAGCCTTCCCCAAACCATGTCAAGATCCGTCCAGCCCCAGTGTGAAAATGGAACAAGCTCATCCTGAAAGAGAGCTCCATACAGAGGCTTCAGATCATTTCCCTTTGCTGGATTGTCCTCCGCATAGCACTCCTTTACTCGAGCTTCGAAGGATTCAAAAGACATATGACCAAAGACCTTGTGCACCACGTCAGTCTTCCAAAGTCGTTGTGCCAGGCTCTCCAGAGGCAAATGATGGAACTGAACGCGCTCAGAATGCTGAGGAGGTTTCTCATCGATTGTGTGAAAAATCAGGAAGGTGGCACCCGAATCCTTCGCAGTATCGGCAAACGCGTCTGTGTAAGCAGGCAGCTTGCCCAACCACACGACAACTAAAGCCACGGAGGGATCCCTTCGCACTTCAGTGTCACTGTTAGCTTCGTTGCTCATGTGGCTCCCAGGATGGCTGGGAGCCTGGCTCTGGTTTTTCCATTGACGAGACCTGGATTGCAACGACAACGGACCCATCTCACGCACATCAAGCAATGTGGTCGTGGTCGTGGTCACGCTTGGCATGCTTTCCTCGCTTTTCACACAATCCCCCTTAACGAGTACAAGCTGTGATTTGTGGCAAGCATGTTTCGTCTTTCGTGGGGGGCTTCCGCTGCACATTTCAATTTGAATCTGCTTGCCGCACAGTTTGTCTGGCACCGGCCATTCGAAAGCACCTGTCGCCTTGGTGTTGCCGGTCACAGAGTCCAAGAAATTTCCTGAAAGACCATCGCGGACGTATCCCCATGAATACCAACCTCTATCAGTGCCCACAAAATGGCTCCATCGCACAGTCAAATTCTCGCCGACATCCACTGCTTCAGCAACGAGTACCTCGTCAGGTACGGACATGCCTAGCACTAAAAGAGTCGGTAGCCTAGCATCATAATGCAGACAAAACATGACAAAATCCAAAGTCAGCAAGTATCTGTCGAACGCTCCAGCCACACTTGGCTAGAATCTTCTGAGCTGCCACAGAATACTGATGCCCACAAAAAGACTGCCAATTGCATGAACAAAATCTCGTCGAGCGAGGCAGGCACGTGAATGAATCCTTATTGTACAAATTCGACAAGGCAGTCGCCGCCGAACATGGAACACAAGTAGCTACCTAGCTAGTACCTTTCTTGAGCCTACATAAACATGTAGCTGCTGGTCATCCATCCTTCCAGCGCACACGCTTCTGCTCAAGTAGCGTGCGCTCACCAATCTTCAAGCAACTCAACAGACGTCAGCCGATCCAATGAAGGGTCCCGAGACTGCTGCCTTTTCACTTCTTTCTCGCGGCTGGTCAGAGCTATTCGAAGACATTTTTGCCTGAAAGCTCGCTGTGCCTAGGAGCTCAAATTATGTTGTAAATCGTTCCCAACCTTGCCCAAGTGATACCATATTTCGAGCATTTCCTTTCCAGCTGTGAGACCCAACCATCTGAAACAGCCATCCTCACCAAGCCCCTTTGGGGCTGCCCAAGCTTTGTGCGCCGTAGGATGCGGAGGCGGACCTGACCAACGAGACGTTTAACAAATGCCTCCACATGGCACATGCTGAGGCCATGGCCGAAGCTGTCTGCAGGTGTCGATAACGCTCTGACACTGTCGAAATGAGATCCACATGACCCCTGAGGCCACACAGAACACCCTTTACAAGATGACGCCTTGCTATGAGAAGACCACGCGCTTGCTGCTCTGCCACTTTGTAGGGGCCTACTTTGGGATCAGCCTGTCCTTTACACAAGCAAGGCGGATCTCGCAACTGCTTGGGTACGAACTGTGAGCGTGCAGGGTTATGATACAGGAACCGGGATCCCGGTATTGCAAAGGTAAATTCACGCAGCTTCAAGAAGTGGCAACAACACCCTTTGGATGCTTGGCCGTGTGATACATGCTCCGTTGCATTATCAAAATAGGCACACGATGATGCTGGACCCCATGGGCCTTGTGGCTCCCCTGGCTGCATGCACAAAAAGAAGACTACTGTATGCCTTCCAGGACAAATGCTTCTGCTGTTCAGCAGTAAAAACATTATATACTGCTCACTAAAAACTCTGTAATCTTGAGGGGTGTGCCAGCCACCGTCAAAGACAATCTTGGGAATCTAATTCTCTTGGTGTTCCGTTGTCCTTGTTGAGAATAATGGTCAGCCTCATATGTTGAACACACAACACCGTAATGTTCTAGTCGCCGTTGAAGATGTCCCTTGGAACACTCTTGAAATGCACATTGCGCGCACTCAGAAACAACTCGCCGCGAGCAGTTGGGCACCATCCAGTTTCAATCAGATTGGGTCCCAAACCCGCCTGAGTTGCAGCATGTCAAAAGCCATTGCTGCCATGTTCTGCTGTATGACTTGGAAGCGATACCGAGATGATAGCCAGCCAAGCTTGCGCCGCTGTCCAGCGGAAGTCGAAGAAACCTTGACGGTACAAGGCTTAGCACCTTGCTCACCAAAATTTGTCAAAAGCATGCTAGCAGGCGCACCTTAACAGCTGCCTTTCTCCGTCAGGACGTTCCATGAGGATAGGCCCACGTAGGTCAGCCAAAGGCACACCTCAGCTCTTTTTGATGCAGCTTCATAGGTACAAGCTTCTCGTTATACCCTCAGGCTAGTCTCCTTGCCCAAGTGCGCAACTCTCGGCCCGCTAATCCGTGTTTTTGCTTTGGAAAACAAATACATACACAAATGTATGTCTGCTTCTTACATGCGAGTCACAAATCGGTCGTGATGTAGCTGAAAGGTTGTGATGTAGATGGACAGGTCCCATGGAGCAATCTTTCAAGAGTGGTACAGGAAATACAGGGTCAGAATTGTTGGCATTTTGTAGATAAGAAGCAGTGGTTGCCCACCTTTCCAGGCCCGCCGATTTGGTGCCGGGTTTAACTATTTAGCTCCTCTTCCTACACATTCTGGTGCCCACAGACATGGCTATGATTCAGAAGCATAGACTGGCGATCGCTCCTGTGTGCTTTATGATTCTTCATCTAAGAACACCAAGCTGTCAAATGAAGCCTGTCTGAGCCAGCGGCAAGGAATGAAGAGGTGGCGTACATTATGCCTTGGTCACTAGGGCGTGAACCAAGGCCCCGACATGAATGCAAAACCCCAAGTCTTGCAAAAGCCCAATGACACCTGCAGAAATAAGTCCAACTGCCTCTGACACAAATTTCCATTGCTGGCCGTAACCACTGGAGCGTACCAAACCTCGCTCCCACTAAGCTCCTTACCTTTCGGACCGCCAAGCTCACCACCAACAAACCATCTCCGCAGTAGGATCACCTCGCACCGACATGCAGAAAACATCAACGTGCGAAAAAGGGAATCCAACGGCAGGCGTACCAGTATGCAGCAAGATGCGCAGCAACAAAAGACGGCCACCTCATCAGCGAGATGTGCGAAATTCTACCGCTTCTGCTTTCTGCTGCGCAGAAACATGTCACAAGCTTTGCCAGGGCCCAAGCGCTGAAGCCCAAGTTTCCACCTAAAACGACGAACTGTCCTCCGGTAGGATAGTTCTCAACGACACCTCGCCAAGTCAGGACATCACAGGACTATAGAGCTCCACACTTAGAATATCTAGTGAATCTTCAGCTCCAAGCTCTGTCCACGGTACTTGGTGAACCACCGGTCGTCCGGGGATAAATCACCTCCAAAAGTGTAGGCAAGCATCGAGTCTCAAGCTCTCAAACAGCTAATCCTGCCTAGCGCTGCCCAGTAGATGGCTCCGATAGTCCAAGGCAAGCCCAGCCCTAGAAAGACCTGACATCAGTCGCTAGGGAGGAGCACTCTGCAGCGTTTAATTTGCTGGATGCCAAACGCATTACCGAGCGTGCAGCATTGACTGAGTTGCTTCCGGTGACGTTGCCGATGGATGCATCTGCTGTGGGATCCTGCTCCCGGGCATTTGCTCATGCTGCGCCGGTTCACAGCTAAGTGCCAATTGACTTGTATGCGCTGGGTGTGCAAAGCTGGCCTGCTCTGCAGCTGACTTGGACGCAAAGGTGTCCGGCCTTCAGAACGGAGCTAAACAACAGCTCCGTTTACTCTAAGCTGCTCTGCTCAACGCAAACGTCAGGTTTCTTTTGGGCAGGGTTCCTGTGACGATGCCTACCCCCATTCAACCGTGGCTTCCTATGATGTTCCGTCTTCCTGCTGGCAGATAGGGTCACGACAGCGAAGTGCCAAGAGCGACAAGGGAGATTGCGGTGATCTCATCAGGCATGCTCACCACACCTGCCACAAATTCAACTGGGGTATGGCAACAGCGATGAAAGAGAGATCTCGATAAAGCTCCGCCAGCTTCACACCCGCAGAGCTCTGCCAAATCGCCTAGGGGTCAAAAGCTGCGGACATGTGATACAAACGTACGCAGGAGACCTGAGCCCGGCCTATGACTGCTGTCACCATGCCAATCATCGCCAGAGAAGAACAAAAACACAGCCAACCACCACAGTAATCAACCTCCGCAGGCGTAGCTTGCTTGGTGCATGCTTGGTGTCAAATCATCTCAAGGATCTCAATGATTTAAGTTCGCCGCTGGAGGGATCAAAGCAAAAATCACCTGCACACAAGGCACGCATCTCCGAGACACCAGGGTCAGCAATTGGGCCTTCCAGGGCATGGTGATGAGGTGGAAGACCCAGGCAGTGACCAATTCGCAGCCCTTAGGGCTCTGAGATATGGAACAATGAGTTCTTGTCTGGAAAGCTCTTGCAGATTATTCTGGGCTTCTGGCTGTTGCTTCCCCCGGATCAAGGAGAACTGCATCGGTAAACTGGTCCTTGCATGCATCATTGGCGAACAACGAGAAAATCCAGGCAACGAAGGGGCCTTCCAGTTGTCCCTCGCCATCATTTGCACCTCCCAATTCACCTTGAAGGCCTGCACTTCCACGGCAGCTGGTCTAGATCCTAAGTAGACCTGGACATGTAACATCTCCTGACGTCAACAATCTATCTGCTGGACCATCAAGGAAGTTCAAGAACACACCCGCCAAGCCTGCTTCAACTTGTCTGCTCGCCGCTTGGTCACTTCATCACCCCCCACAACAATAGTGCAGATGCAACACTCCTGTCAGCTGCCGCAAGTGCGCACTGTACTAACACCTTCACTGTATTATGTGGCTGTCCTCCCCACCATCTGTGTGGGCCGCGAAGCCTACTCCGCCCGTCCTTGAAATCAATTTCGTGTTCATACCTACACAAAACTTGTACAATTCCGTTCGAGTGTATGGATATGATGAGTCTAAACAAAACACCGCGTGGAGTTGAGAGCCACACGCTTCTTCAATGTAAAGCCTGAAGACGGAGTTGGTGTCGAAACGACCTGAAAGAGCTGACTTATTGCTAAAGAAACACCTAGGTTGAGCGCGAGACCACTGGGAAAACTCAAGTCGCGACCCCGAGGCTTGATGGTAATGTGGATCTCTGCTTCGGTCTGCATGCAGGGCATGGTACGATCCAATCCAACACGATGCCGAAAACCCTTTGCAGGCCTCTTGGTCAGCAAACTCAAGGGTCCCAGTGGCTTCCTCGTAGTCAATTCCAGCAATGCCAGTCCCATCTTCCGTCCGATAGGAGCAAGACACTGCCCTGGCAGCGCAGGCTCTACACAGGACACGCGCAGGCATTTGCACGGGTCATCCTGTAGCCTCATAAAGTCTTTCCCATAGGAACCCCAATATTGACAATTGCTCATACTACTTGACAAACAGCAGGCCGCCATGGAGGCAGCCTATCTGGCATTTACATGAGACCGAGAGGGCCCAGCAATCTGCAACAAAGGCAAGCAAACCATCAATAAAAACATCTTCTGGTCTCTTTCTTAAGAAGGGACGCTTTGGTTACAAACAATCCAGGATCCGAAGGATACCCTGAATCCCTGAATCCTTGGCCTGCTACACTCTACACCCTGAAAAGCACGTGCACATTGCCGTAGGGGGATCCAGAAACCTCAGCCATGCCCCCAGACATCCGCAATCGTTGATGATGACTTTACCCTCATTTCTTCCAAGTCCTCACACAGATGTTGGAAGCGATGTTGAAATTACACAAACCGATCCTCACCCAATATCATGCTGACTCATCTTGCCGATGAAAAAATCTGGCAAGGCCACCCTTTCGCACCAGCGTGCCGGTGGACCATGATCGCTATGACCTGGCAGGTGTCTTGTTTACTTGCTGAAAAGTAAATTCAACATGTTGCCTTCTCGCCGCTAAAGTCTTCGCTCACCTGGCAATGCATTCAAACCAGAGCCTATTCAGCGTGCAAATCCACTTGCTCGCAGTAGCCTTCTCCTCTTGATTGCTGAAGGCCAGAACTCCAACCGCATCATCGTCAACAATTCTGACCTGCAAGAAAGCTCCGACGTGTCCTGCTTGCCACTGCGCTCCGCGTCTCAATGCCATACTTTCCACTAATGTCTGTGAAAAACGCCAGCTTGCACTAGCCTTCCACACTCCAGGCTCTGAAACATGAGACAATGCCTGCATCCCGAACCGCTAGGCGTTCCCCTCCAAGTTCTGTGTAACTGACAATACTCGTGGCTCTGATTTTTGGTGAGCCAGCCCTAGTCAGGGTCTGGTCTCCCTGTCATTGGTGCCCAATAAAGGAAACGAAGCATCCCAAGAGCCACAGCCACAGCATTCCAGAACCTAGTGAAAAATACAACCGGCATGGAAAGCGCACACCAAAGAATGCATCCACATTCAAAGGGTCTGCCGTCAACAAGGCACACGCTGTGCTTGGATGTCCCCTGGTCCACATTTGTCTTTAAGAGGTCGGCTTTCCCAACACGCTCGGAGTTCCAGTTCAACCACTTAAAAACAATGGGCCAGGTGGCCGACACGGAGCGTTAACAATTACACAAATAAACACCTTGCCCAGGTCAACCCAACCATCTTCATTGCAAGCAAGAGTGCCGGATGTCTCAGCTTCTTGACATGCGCTTGGCAACAAACTGAGCACAGCACGTGCGCGGTCTTGTTCTTTCCCAGCTTTGTCTCGACCTCAAATTATTTGGCATAGCATATGACAACTCCCTGCATGCTATGTCATAGCATGGACAGGATTTTACGACGTCAACTCGGTCAGGCAGAGCAAAGGCAAGTACCTTGCTCTCGTCGACGGAGTATGGCTGGTAGAGCTCCACGTCAAAGTATGTGTCCGGCTCATGCTCGTCGTCATCGAGAATCTGAATGTAGATCATCTTTTCCGTCTCATCCTGCCATGACAGAAAGGGCCGTTGCATCTGTAGTCTCATCTTAAGAGTATGCAAATAAAAGACTGAGACGCAAAGGCTCAATTCTGCTGTTGGACATTTTCACTTCGAGTGCAGGTGCTGACACATAGCTGCTGGAATAGCAGATCTGTAGTACCAAGGGCTGAAAAGGACCATGGAATATGAACGGCTTGCTGTTATCACTAGTGGTGTCCGGCGCAAGCTGCCCCCGAAGCTTTTGGAATGGACCAAGAACCCAGCCCAACTCAGCATTGTGTGCGCGCGTTGTGGCACCCTCATTGTGAGAGTGTCTTGCGTGCTGGCCTCTTCGAATTCCAGAATGCCTTCCACCTTGATGAAATCTTTGCCATCCTTGGCCGTGACTTCCTTTGTCCTGTACCTGACAGAAGCGTTCATGGAAAGCCATGTGTTGACTTGACAGCGCCCCCGCGTGGAAACCTAAGTTACCCTCTAGTGACTCTCAGTAGTGCATGACTGCAGGCTAAATTGCTGTCCAGGTTGCATGACGCTCCCCTTGCCCAAAGGCTCTATGCTGTCGGACTCTCGGGTGACAAGCAGCTCCTGATGAAGGAGGCCGAACGCGACGAAAGACCATTCACGTCTACTGCCGACTCGAATGCAAGCATCTCTGCCAGTCCAGCTTGTCGCAGCTTTCAAGGCAGGAGTACTCAAGATGCCTCAACATCCAGAGGGGCCCAATCAAGTGCTCACACAAATCTTTACCTGCAGTGTATCCGTGTCGAATCCCTGGCTGATAATGCTGCGCTTACTCTGTTTGTTCCGTAACTTCCGACCAAACATCATTGTTCCTTTGCGAGGACACGGAAAAAGTTCCTAGGCTTCCTGGCTCGAAGGCAAAGACAACGTTTGGCTTGTTGGCCTCCTTGCAAGGGCGGGTCAGTGTTACATCAACATGTAGGCTCACACATCGCGCAAGCAAATCTGCAAAATACGAGCCTTCTGCTCAGGAGTTAGTTGAACTGGAACCTGAATTCATGGAATTGAAAAACTAGCTCAGTCAGCGCATTCGGATGTTGACCCCAGAATCGGCTGAGAGCCTGGCTACCTTGGTCTCAGACTTTCGCCTTGCCGCAACAACCATGCCACACAGGTCGCCAGCACCCACGTCAATTGCATGCCAGCCCTGTAAATGGTTGCCATCATTTACGTAAGACATGTCTGCGACGCTGCATAGATGCCTTCTCCTGCCCTTCGAAACATGTTGTATATGTTGTAAAGCTTCATGGAGTTTGGCTCACAGCAGGCCTTCCACCTCCGAAGAGTTTTTCGGTGGCAGCCATGCGTCGAGCGGCCCTTGAGGGCTCTTCCTGCAGCTCACGTGTTCTTACAAGCTCCTCGCTGAAGACTCTCTTCCATTCTCTAAGGAAGAGGCCACTGCACCAAACTCTTCTCTGATGAGCTTAACAACTTTATCCTGCCAAAGGCAGAGGAGACGTGTGGACTAAACAGCCAAAAAGAATGCTTCCTCTCGAAGTAACAAAACATGCCAGATTGACGTCTGGAATCCCTGTGCCATGCTTCTTGAGGATTCGCATCCTCATCGTGGCTATTTCCTGCCCAAGGCAACTGTCCGGCTGAAAGTCACACTGTTGGCAAGCTGCGTGGGGTCGTGTTCCTTTGAATGTGGGCTGTCTGCTTCTCTTTCCCACGCAATGTCGTCGTGACATCTTCTGCCGGAAAGAGTCCACGTGCTGCCCGACGAAGACACGTTGATCCGCCCTGCTCTCCCTGCAGATGCTACCGATAGGACCTACCTACAGCCCAATCAGGCATGAGCAACAACGCCAGCTGCCAGAGCTCTGCAATTGGCCATGAATCTTCCGTCGAGCTGTTACAACGATTATCACCAATTTGCTCTGGGCACGAGCTAAAACATGTACTCCCAGCCCGGAGTTAACGCTTTATCGTTCTCAAAGAAGGCTGTGAAGATTCCGCAGATGACATTTAATGCTGCATTGTGCAAACAAGGGATGGAGGTTGTTGCCCCTACTTGCCTGAACCCTCCCTTGAAAGTGAACCAGGGGGTCATGCTGGAAGTCGGGAAGAGCTGTGGAATGTAGCAACAACATACTAGAAGTCATACGTGTGGGTGTCCAGAGGCGCAGCATAATATAACATGTTCGTTCTGTCCTTGCCCGGAACATGTTATGTCCTTGCCCGGCTTCTGGCCGTCCTGCCTTCCTGCCCTCCTGCCCTCCTGCCTTCCTGCCTTCCTGCAGACCGTCCGTCCTGCTGCCCGCCTTTACAACCTGTTAACCACAGATCTTATAATGTACGGTACCGTACAGCTCAGGGGAGGCCTGCTCTGTGGCTGCATCCAGCAGGACCTTCTCTGCCTCCTTGTTCTTCCCTCCTCGAGCGAAGTAACCTTTGTCCTTCGCATGTCAAAGCAGCCTCCATGTGGTAATATAGCTCAAGCAAAGCGCTGAGACTTTGGCAGCGATGAAGGCCAGCATGACTAGCACCGGGAAAAGCAGGAATGTTATGAGAGCCTGGGCAAGTGCTTCCTTCTTGCCAGAAGGCAGCCTATGCAGGCTCCAGCTAGAGGACCTGGCCATCTTACACACCCTCAAGCCCCTCCCACAACGCACATATATACCATTCAACGACATACTGCCAATACAAAACCAAGCAATCACAGCCAAGTTGCCTCTGGAATGGTGATAACCTGTATCGAGCAGAAATATGCTAGTTGCATGAACCGCATGCGCTCGGGAAGCTGTACTCGAAAGTCAAATCATCCAACAGGCCGGCGCGGCATCAGGTGACCACAGCATACAAATGACAATTAGCCAAACGTATGCAAAAACGGAGAAGGTCGCCGTCACAGCGAATACCTGGACAAGCAGCATATCTGCCATCGCATGTTGCATAACCAGCTGAACCGGGCCTGGATATCCTTGATCCTACGGAACTCGCCACCAGGAATCGCTGAAACGCAGACGGCCGTGATGACCAGCAGATTAAAGGCTGCGCTGCCGACCTGGCTATTGCAGACAATGACCCGGCCCAGAACTGAAAGGTGATCAGGGCTCTTGCAATGGTGGATGGGCCAAGATCGCCAGAGTACATCTCATTCTTGAGCAATTCTATGACCTCAGCAGCACACCATCTAGATACATCTTTTAGGTGGCGCCTCTTGCAATATGGCGTGCGCTAGGGCCCCGGCGCTCAGCAGAATCTCCGGCGCGCTGGAACCCAGAGCCATCAGTGTCAAATTTGAAACAGTCGCATTCCACACCTTGACCTGGGATGCAACTGCAAGTTGCATGTTGCAGCTGATGTCAACAAAGACTGCCGAGGAACAGTGATGAAAGTCTGCAAATTCGAGCTGAAGACGCGCTTCTTCTTCGACGTAATCTGTTGCAGGCCAGCTTTCAAACATTGCTGCGTTCGCTGGCGTTCGGATTCTGTTGCTTGCAGATACGCGTGCTATCACAGCCCAATCCTTCTCAATTGATCCCATAAATATGTCGGAGACGATGCCCACACCTGCGCAAGCAGTTCCCACCCGTCACCCACGTGCCAAAGCGCCGCAGCAAGAGTCACTGGCAAAAATGACAACAATCTGAGGCCATCGCCCATGAAGGACCAAAACAGTCCAGTGAAGTATAACACTGCACCTTACAACTGTTCAAGACACATGACGACAGACACGTGTCCTGGGCAGCATGCGGCCGGATGCGGCTGGAAGCGACATGTACATAGTTGGCATTTGCACATGCAACGGGTCGTCTACTTGTACTGGCCGACAGTCAGGATGCTGACTCGGGTAAAGTTATTCTTGAAGAACCCACATGAACAGTGATCATCAGGAATCCTTGAGGCATACAGCCAGAATGATAATTTTCAATAAGCCAAACAATCAACTGCGTCTTCTGCGGGCTCTCCCAAACCCAGTTCTGGCAGGCGCTTAGTATCTACCCACGGAGCCTGCAGCGGCACGGTGAAATTACACATCAAGGTGAACATCCACTAAAAACTCAAGACCACCACCACATGTTTGAAGCGTGGCTTCTTCAATTCCCAAAAAAATGCAGCATTTAAGCCTGACGTGAGGTGTTTGCAGAAACGTTGATAACTACAAATTTGCACACTGCCACCGCCACGCAAAAAATAACTGGGAGAAACTGAGAAGCTAGCGAAGTGCCGGATTCCACGTTTGCTCATCTGGCAGATTGATGCAACTCAAATGTGGCAAGCAGCTGACTGAAGGTCTCCCAAAACGCTTGAAAGATGGACGGTTGCAGCTTTCTGAGCGCAGCATGTGAAAGACCTGCCTGGTGCAAAGAGGGGAAGCATAAGCCCGCTTCCACCTACCTGAGCAGAGAATGCTATTGGTCGTCGACTTTGGACCTTGGAGTTCTGAGGACTGGGCCTCGCATATTGATGCAGAAGTGTCACATGTCGAGTTGATGATGCTGGTGACATTGGAGCGATTCTCTCCACTCATTGTGACACCTTAGCAGCTGGAGATTGAGCTCAATCAATCCGCTGCATTGACTCGCGCAATTTGCTCTTTCAAAGTCAACCGGCCGGACAATCGCAAAGAACCCAGATCCATGACAAAAGCATGACACCAAACACATGGCCAAGGCAGTAAGGACCGTACTCTTTCTGCAATTTGCAGAAGAAATGGGATGGGACTCCCCACTTGAACGAGAAAAGCGCACATCATGAATGCATGACCGTACCGTGCAGTCCACCCTATTGACTACTGCACACTTCAGGGGCGAGCCGAGGCCAACGAAAGCTAGCCAGGCTCTTTGTAGCATGAAGTAAGGTTGAAGAGGAGGGAACGTACATGCCAGCAAAACGCACAGACCTCGTTAAGGGCCTGGAAAACCCATCGCGGAACCTCGCCAACTCGACTCCAGTCTCCACTTCTCTTTGCACTCCACTTTCCTTTCAAGCCTTCTCCTCCCCACTTTCCCCATTCCCCCAGTCTCTGCTCCAAGTTTCACTCCGCTGTCCAATCTAACTCTGACTTTACTCTGGACTCCACCCTCACTCCAGAGACCACTTCAGTTTCCACTCCACTCTGCACCACTCACCACTCCACTCTGCAATGCAGTCTCCACCCCACTCTCCAGTCTGTACTCCACCCTCCACTGCTTTTCCACCTCACTCTCCACTTGTTTCCACCGCACTTTCCCCTCACACCTGTCCCTTCCACTCCATTCCATTACGCAGTCCCGGCATTCTCTGCCAACGTCCAAGAGACTGGACAAGCACAAGGACGGCGAGTCTCACTTTCCCATACCGCCCACAGGGTCGAATTCGATGAAAACACAACCATGTACAAGCATGGCAAACTGAGGAGGGCGCCCTTGCGACAGTGGGCATGTCTTACGCGAGGTGAAGACATGAGGCTCCAAAAGTGGGTACAATTGCCAAGATGGCGACCCCAAGGGGTCTCATCCCTGTCACTTTTCACGCGCAACGAGGACCTGACTCTCCAAAGCAGATGAAGTTGGCGGGATGGCTACCTCACGGGGCAGCATCCCTGTGATTGTTGGCACTCATTAACTTTTCACACGCGACGAAGCAGCAACACTTCCCCGCCCCGCCCTGCCCCATGCCCCGTGACTGTTTGCACCTTTGACCCGCGACGCAGCAAGGACGGTCCAAAAGTGACAACACTTGTACGAAGATGGTTCCGGCGCGAATGCTTGGAAACGCTT